CGACGGGGGGCGGGGCAAGCTATACACTCACACACATATACTATATATACACATATATATGTGTACACGTATACAGCGAGTGATCATTAGCATACACATACGTGTGGACACACATCATGTTCAAGCTGGGAGCTCACATTTCGACAATACTATGTGTATCACGTAAGTGTTTATACATTGCACTATACATGTATAGATGTATGTATGTATGAATGTATGGATGTGAGAACGCATTTGTGTATGCAAGTGTGTACGTGTGTGTGTGTGGTTGTCTGTATGCATGCATGTATGCATGTATGTAATGTATGTATGTATGTATGTACGTGTGGTCGGTATGTATATGTGTATGTATGTGTAGGTATGCATTGATGCATGCATGCGTATATGTACGTATGCGTGCATACCTGCATGCATGCATGCACGCATGTAACTATGTATGTATTTATGTATGAATTTATGAATCTGTATGTAGATATGAATGCATGTGCGCATATATATATATATATATATATACATATATATGTGTGTAGACATAGATATGGTTGTGTGTATGTATGTATGCATGTATACATGTGCGTATGTGTATATATGTATGTATGCATGTATGCATATATGTATATCTATATTTGTGCGTATGCGTATTGCATGTGTGTACGTATGTATGTACGTAGTTGTCACATGCATATATGTATGTATATGTGCATGCGCGTATGCATGTTTGAATGTTTGTATGCATGCATGCATGCATATATACATATACGTATGTAATGCTGTTTGTTTGTTCGTTTGTGTGTATGTATAGGCATGAGCTGTACTAGCTGGATTCAATGTTGTGTTGTGTATGCGCACTGGGGTGACAGGTACGGGAAGCGTTATACATGTGTACATGTATAAAGATACAGTCGGATGCCATTGTATTGGGTGGTGCTCACCAGGGCGAACGTGTGTCGAGGTGGCATCACTATCGGTGTGTAATGTTATGGGACGTTACATATGTCGGTCTACAGCCGTACGGGATGGCATTCTGGCTTTCCCCACAGGTCAATGCTTGTAAACCTGGCAAAGTTTATCCATCCATGTGCATCTCCCAATACTTTGTGCCTCCTGAGGCGTGCACGCTCAGCTGACCCACCGCTTGGACACAGCAGTCTGGGGCCCGATATTCATTCGGCCACGTTCGCAGGATAGCGTTGCTCTGCCCGTACGGGGTAAAAGGTTTTGATTGCCAGTCCACCCGCTGCAGGCTGGCCTTAAGTCGGGCATGTCCCTCTACAGAAGGAATATTCAAAAATATTCCAACAATAGTCTGGGGACATTTTTGACTTTTTGGGACAATTTTGAGTATGTTTTGACTATTTCTGATTTTTCGTCTAAAGTCCGCCTGTAGGGGGACATGCCCGACCCAAGGCTGGCCCTCACGCGACTCGATGCTCGCCCAGGGCATTGCAGCCATGCTTTGCAGTTGTTCGTGGCTCCTGCGCGGGGGGACACGCATCCGGAGCGCGCCTGGGCTGTTGGTCAGAGGCCGCTTTGAAATGCTCGTGGGGATTTGTTGGGAGACCTCTCGGCAGCCTCTCGGTGGCGGTTCTGGGGGAATCGAGGGTGGGTCGGGGGCCTTTGGGGGCCTGATTTGGGTTTTTTCGGGGCTCGGGGCCTCTTCGGGCCTCTTGGGCTCTCTCGGGGGCACCTCGGGAGCCTCCGGGGAGTCTTGGGACCATCTTGGGGCGGAGGGCTTGAAATGTCAGTGCGTGTTCCCCCTCTTGGTCTCCTCTTGGGGCTGTCTTGGGGGTTTCTTCGGCTCCTCCGGGGGGCTCTTGGGCCGTTATGCTGCGATATTGGGCCCTTCTTGGGCCGTCTCGGACACTCGGAAGGCCGAGAAGGCGATGATGCGAACACCATGCCAAGCCAATGGATCTTTACGATTTGGGCCTCTTGGGCCTCCTTCCAGGGCTTCCAAGACGGCCCAGGAGGAGCCCAAGAGGGCTTCAGGACGGTGCTGGGTGTCATCTTAGTCCATGTTGAACATGCGTATTCCGAACAACGCGCCGTTGGCGTCTGGGGGAGTCACACGGGAACACCTGGCAGCGCCTAAGAGCGCCCGTGAGTGCGCCCAGAGCTCTTGGCTGTGGGCCTTTGGTACGATATTTCCAGTTTTGGGTACAGGGAACTCGCAGAGAGCTGAGGACACACCATTTCTTGCCTCGAGGCACGGTGTTGAATACACTCACGTATATACATATATACACCAGGGTGAGGGGGCCGAACGCTCATTCATTGTCCCTGGGTGCGTGGCTGAATAGGGAACTCGTGGTGAGAATTCGGCTTGTTGCGTTGTTGTTGCTGTTGATGTCGTCGTCCCACCCGCGACCCACCCGCGACCCACCCCGCGACCCACCCCGCGACCCACCCCGCGACCCACCCCGCGACCCACCCCGCGACCCACCCGCGACCCACCCCGCGACCCACCCGCGACCAACCCCGCGACCCACCCGCGACCCAACCGCGACCCACCCGCGACCCATCCTGCGACCCACCCGCGACCCATCCCGCGACCCATCCTGCGACCCACTATCGACCCACCCCGCGACCCACCCGCGACCCACCCTCAAGGGAGGAAGAACCACCCGGATCCGACAATTGACGTTTACTAAACAGCCTTGGGCGTTTACTAAACAGCCCTGCCATGTTCGATTCATCCCTTGTGTGCGTTCAAAGGGCTTCGCTTGTCGGGGTAACCACCCCGCGACCCACCCGACGACCCACCCGCGACCCACCCGGCGACCCACCCGCGATCCACCCAAGACCCACCCAAGACCCACCCCGCGACCCACCCGCGACCCAACCCGCGACCCATCCGCGACCAATCCGCGACCCGTCCACGACCCACCCCGCGACCCACCCTCAAGGGAGGAAAAATCACCCGGACCCGACCGTTGACGTTTACTAGAGAGCCCTGGGCGTTCACTTAACAGCCCTGCCCGGTTCGTTTCATTCTTTGTGTGCGTTTACTAAACGGCTTCGCTTGTCGGAGTGATCCTCATAGGGTGAATGTTCTGCCCTCTACACCCGCGACCCACCCGCGACCCAAAAACTATCCACCCGCGACCCACCCGCGACCCCTTTGCGACCCACCCGCGACCTACCCACATTGGCCTAACGAAAAAATCGGCGCCTGGGGCGGGCTCGTTGTATAATGTGTGAAACGTTAGCGCCTGCGGCAAGCTTCTCCAGAATCTCGCAATCTGCCGACGTCCCCACCGCCCCTCACTCTTGCCCGCATCTGCAGGGTGCTACGGTATGCATGAGCGCGTCATCAAAGAGCGCGTGGGGGGGGTTCGAACCTCTCCCACCCCCCATCCCCCCCTGGATGAAGGGGGGGTGCTCGAAACCCCCATCCTCTCCCCCCCCCTGCTTCCCCTCTCCTCGGGCCGGCGCTGCGCTTGCGTCGGCGGCAGCTGGCGACGGCGGCAGGGACGACGATTCCCATTTCTGGGCCAGTGCCAGCGCCTGCGGCGGCGGGCGGCGGTGGCGGGGAGCGTCGACGAGGACGACGGTGGTGCTGGTGGTGGTGGATTGTGGTGGTGGTGCTGGTGGCGGTGGTGGTGGTTGTGGTGGTGGTGTGGTGGTTTGTTGTGGTGGTGGTGGTTGTGGCGGTGGGTGGTGGTGGTGGTTGTGGCGGTGGTGGTGGTGGTGTGGTAGATTGTGGTGATGGTGGTAGTGGTGGCGGGTTTTTTTTGGTGGCGGTGGTGGTGATGATGAGATGTGGTGGTGGTGGTGGTTGTGGTGGTGCTTGTGGTGGTGTGGTGGTGGTTTGTTGTGGTGGTGGTGGTGGTGGGTTGTGGTGGTGGTGGTTTGTGGACGTTTGTTGTGTGGTGGTGGTGGTGGTGGTGGCGGTGGTGTTGGTGGTGTGGTGGTTTCTGGTGGTGGCGGTGGGTTGTGCTGCTGGTAGTGGTGGTGGTTGTGGCGGCGGTGTTGGTGGTGTGGTAGATTTTGGTGGTAGTTGTTGAGGATTTTTGGGGTGTTGGTGGTGATGGTGAGTTGTGGTGTTGTTGGTGGTGGTGGTGGTGGTGGTGGCTGTGGTGGTGGTGGTGGTTGTGTGGTACTGTTGGTGGTGGCGGTGGTGGTGGTGGTGAGTTGAGGCGGTGGTGGTGGTGGTAGTGGTAGTGGTGGTGGTAGCGGTGGTAATCGTTGCTTCGCCCCCGCCGTCGCGGGCGCCAGCGCCGGCGCTGCGGGCCGCCGCCAGCGCCGGCGCCGAGGAGGGGAGGGAGGTTTTGAACCCCCCCTCCCCCCTTGGGAGGGGGGGGGAGTTCGAACCCCCCCCCCTTGGGAGGAGAGGGGGGGGGGGTTGTCGCCTCCTCTCCCCCCCCTGGGCTCTGGTCATCATCGCTGCGTCCCCGCCGTGAGCGCTGCTGGCGGCCGCCAGCGTCGGCACCGGCGCCGAGGGGGGGGGGAGGGGAGCCCCCCCGGTTGTGATCGACGGCGCCGAGTGTTGGGGGGTCACCCCCCGATTTGAAACGCGCCGCCGAATGTTCCTAAGGCAAGCGACCCCCGTGAATTGCGTTCACTCGCATGAATATATCATGTTTGTTAGACGTGATGATCTCTCAGAAGCCTGGCGAAGGCTGGCAAATCCGTGGCTGCTAAAACGGAGCTCCGGGAAAATTTGTGTTTTTTTCGGGAAGCAGCCCGTTTATTATTGAGCGCGCCGAAGTTTAGTCCAGGAGTTTGTGTTTTCTCCTTCCGGGGAAAACCGTCTTTGCCATCCCCCGCCCAGCTTCCAAATCTTGATCACTATCTTTCTTTATTTCTCTCCCTATATATACACATACATACAACTATACATAAATACATACATGTAATATCACACACATATTTATGCATATGTATATGTATATATCGTTGTAGACACATTATAGACATGTATGTATACACGTGTCGGCCAGTTTTTTTTCCCGCAGAGGGAGGCACGGCAGCGCTCGACGCCGCCGCCGCCGCGGGAGGCTTCCTGCGGCAGCTCGACTTCGTCGGGGACCTGTCGCTGGGGTGGCAGGCGCGCGGCGCGGGCGCGCCGCCTCCCGGGGGGGCTGGGACGTCGATGACTTCAAAACAAGGGGCCCCAAAGGGGGGAAGGAGGAGGAGGAGGAGGAGGACGAGGAGGAGGAGGAGGAGGAAGAGGAGGAGGAGGAGGACGAGGAGGACGAGGAGGACGAGGAGGAGGACGAGGAGGACGAGGAGGACGAGGAGGACGAGGAGGACGAGGAGGACGAGGAGGACGAGGAGGAGGAGGAGGAGGAGGAGGAGGAGGAAGAGGAGGAGGAGGAGGAGGAGGAGGAGGAGGAGGAGGAGGAGGACCCCCCCTCCCCTCGTACTTACGGTGGTGGTGGTGGAGAACGAGCCCACCAGAGTCGGTGGGGATTCGGGGTCACCGCGCGGTTTTGGGACTCGGGTCGTTCTTCGAGGACGTCTCGGTGTGTGACTCTCGTTCCCTGCGTTGTCGTATCGGTTCCGGTTCGTATTGCAGTTTATGGTTTCTGTGTTGGGCTGCCGTGTTTTGTTTTTTTTTCGGTTGGCCGAATATCGATTATTTGAAAACGAAACACGAACGCTCCCAGTGTTTATCACATCAACTCAAAGGGGGGGGTGCCAGAATCTAAGAGAAATGGATCGCCATCCAAGTGCCCCCCCTGCAGAACACTTGCATCGCGATCCAGTTGTTCAGGGCCCGTTCTGGGTCGATTCTGGGCCGCTCCCTAGTTGAGTGCCAGTTTTGGGCGGGGCCAGTTCTGGGCTCTGCGCTGGGCCAGTTCTTGGATCTGGTTCGAGGGAGTGTAGCTGTGGTTGTTGAGGCGCGGGGGCTGGCGAAGGGTCCAGCTTCCATGCCAGATCGGCGCGCTCTATCGCCAGATCGGGCGGCATGGTTTTCATGTTTCGGGGTGCTCAATGTGGATCTGGCGCCCACGCGTCAGATCCACGAGTCCGCAGTCCATGTTAGCGTGGGCCCGGGGGGGGGAGGAGTTGCTGCAAGTTTCGTTGCAAGAAACCCGACGCCGCTGCGTGGCTTTGGTTATAATCATCTTTGACCGAGCCCTTCAAAGTTGCGAGCTGCATTGGGGGCTCTGCTTTGAGCGGCCCCATCAGAGTGGACGGGATCCAGGCTGACTTTTCCCCGCCCACGCACCTCAATGCGCCAGCTTCACCTTTGGAGGGTGGAGGCACTTTTCATGATGCTCGACATCCCAGTTCATTACCTGTGACGAGATTTTTAGGAGCCTGTCCATTCGAGCTTATTTACGTAATGTCGCGCCGCGTTGGGGCTAGGGTACGGATAATTGTTATGGTTTCAGTGAGTTCGTTGCCGCCAATCGGCTGGACGATGCACGCCGTCACAAGATAGCCCCCGGCAGGAGTGCGAGACGCCTCGCGCACCAAAACCTGACGCCAATCCCGGTGCGATGTTTCCATTCTGGCAGGTCGTACATGCGTACCCGAGGTGGTGCGCATTGCTTTCTTGGTGTTGTATAGCCTCTATTGTGCAGTTTCTGATGCGCTCGCTCGCGGATTCTGTTGTCGCGGGGGTGTCTTATCTCCTCTCCTCCCCAGTAACAAAACACTGACGCAACTCTGCCTCTGCGTCTCGCGGCAAACACTGGCAGCTTTTCGCACTCCTTGCGCCTCCCAGGGCGCCCTCGTCGCGAAGGCTGGATCCGCTTCGAATTCCTGGCGAGAACGCTCCCAGGGTGACCCACCAGAGCCCGTGCTGGACCCCACGACTCGCCAGGCAGCTTCGCAGGAGCCGCACTTCCGTGGTGCCGCCCTGGACCGGTGCTGTGCGCGCCCGCTGCCAAGGCACATGCTCACTTCGATTTCAGCGTCGTGTCGATTTGGGACCGCGCGTATCTCGGGGGCGGCAAAGAGGGGGGTGATGACTAGGGGGGGGGATATCATGGCGGAGGCCATGATATTTCCCCAGATTTCATGGTACCTCTTCTCATTTCATTACGTCCCTGGCCCCCCCGCTGGGCAGCGCACATGCCGCCGGTCATGATTTTCCCCCCCCCCCTCTTGGACACCCCCCTCTTTGCCGCTCCAGGGTATCCTATACCTCGCTGCAGGGCTTCACTGCCAGACTTGCCGATCGACTCCATGGTCGAGCTTCCAAGTTGGCAGGATTGTCGGTTCGAGAGTACAGCAATGTAGTTGGCCTGCCACAGGATCCTCCCGGAGGCCCTCAGAAGCTTCCCAGGTACCGCTACGAGGCCCCCACGAGGCCCCATGCCAAAGACGCCACTACGGGGCATCCAGGTTCGATCGAGTGCGCGCGAGCATCTCCAGAGCACTCTCTCGTGAGTAAGCCCCTGAGATTCTTCGCCAGGTCGGGGGGGTCTGTTCTGGCGCGGAGCAGGGGTACTGGTTCCTCCTCCGAAGGTGGAAAAGGGGGGGTTGAAGAGGAAGCGCCGTGGGACTCAATCGAGCAGTGGCGAAGCGTCCTGGCTTGCCCGTATGCCCACCGAATAACATTCTGAGAAAATCCTGTGGCCTGCACGAGGCAGTCTCAGAACACTTCTGGCCGAGGCCGTCCTGTTTTAACACACCGGCATCCTGTTATGATCGCATGTTCTGTGACTCGCACACTTTTGAGGCTCAAGATTGAGTCGGTCCTGTCCCCCTACAGTGAAGAATATTCCAAAATAGTCAAAAAAACAGTTTGGCGACATTGTTTTCATCATCTTTTGACCATTTGGGGGTATGTTTTGACTATGTTCTATTCTTCGTCCAAAATCCCCCTGTAGGAGGACAGGCCCGACTTGATTCCAGGAGCACGTCGTGGTAGGCCCACGGGGACCGCGGGCACGGCCGGTCCCTGCTCCATTTCCCACCGGGGGCGCGCCGCAACAGCGAGCCGCAACAGCGAGCCGCCCGTTCAGGTTTCTCCAACAAGCCTCCTGGCACCAGCAGCGCCCTCTCGAAAGAGGAGGGCCCTCGAGGAGGAGGAGGAGGAGGAGGAGGATCCCTCGAGGAGGAAGAGCAGGAGGATCCCTCGAGGAGGAGGGGGAGGAGGAGGAGGAGGAGGAGGGCGTGGTCGCCTGGCCGGCCGCGAGGCCCGCCCTCGGCAGAGGAGGGAGGGGGGAGGGCTTCTTGTAGAAGCACCCCTGCTTCTTAGAAGGCGTGGGCCCTCTCTATAGATGTGAGGCCGGCGCCTTCTGGGAAGCAGCCTCCTTCTGAGAAGCCCTCCCCCCTCCCTCCACCCCCCTGCGCGCGCCTCCAAGAATTTGCTCCAATGACCTTCGCCAGAGAGTCCACCTCCATTCCTGTACACAGGTCGGTGTAGAGACTCTGACAGCAGTGTCGGTGTCCGCGGCGCTGGAGCGAGTGCGCAGCTTGTTGAAAGACCCTCCGTCCGTGTAAGTGTCGGGGGTACGCTTCGAGTCCACAGTGAGGGCGCATGTGGAACGCCCATGTGGAAGTGGTAGCTACCCTGAGGGGTCTGGCCGGAGAGGGAAGGGGTGCACGGGCAGTGCTGTGAAGCATTGCGTTATCGTTTGAATCATGCCACGGTGGTAAGACATGATAGTGATACGTGCCACAATCTCCAATCTTCATTTTCATTTCGCTCGGGGTCCAGAAGCGATGGCCGCTTGATGCTCCAGATTTCTTGGAACGCATCCTGAGTTAATCGTCAGAGTGAAGGGGCCGAACGATCATTCACTGTCCGTGGGTGCGTGGCTGAGGTGGAGTTCCGCGGCGCGGAATCTGCTCGCGTGTTGTGTGTTGCCGTCGCCCCGCGACCCGCCCCGCGACCCGCCCCGCGACCCACCCGCGACCCACCCGCGACCCACCCCGCGACCCACCCCCGCGACCCGCCCGCGACCCATCCCGCGACCCACCCGCGACCCACCCGGCGACCCACCGGCGCCCGCCCCCTCACCCTTCTCCGCACTCGCGGGGTGCTGCACGCTCCAGTCACCGAGCGCGTTCCACTACTCGCAAAGTGCCTACTCGCAAACGTCCGAAAACACATGCCTGTTTCGATGTAATTTATCGTAGATCCCCCGCGGCGGATCCAGGCCATTTGCGAATGGTTGATTCCTTTGCGAGTGGTGGAGCGCGCTCGTCTACGCAGCCTTCCTGGAGCGTGCCCTGAGCTCCTCGCACCAAATGACACCATGCCCGCCTCGAGAAGATCGGCATGCACGGCGGCGGCTCCGCGCGAAAGCTTTCCGCCGCCCCAGGTGTTGGACGGCCCGTCGGGGTGCGTGGAGGCGCGCGCCGGCCGCCGCTCCGCTCCCCTCGTCTGGGCCCCCCTGCTCGCGGCGGCCCGCCAGGGGGGCCCCCCTGCTCGCGGCGGCCCGCCAGGAGGAGGAGGAGGCAGGAGGGAGGAGGAGGCAGGAGGGAGGAGGAGGCAGGAGGAGGAGGAGGAGGAGGAGGAGGAGGAGGAGGAGGAGGAGGAGGAGGAGAGGAGGGAGGAGGAGGAGGAGGAGGAGGAGGAGGAGGAGGAGGAAGCGGAAGAGGAGGGAGGAGGGAGGGAGGAGGGAGGGAGGGAGGGAGGGAGGGAGGGAGGGAGGAGGAGGAGGAGGAGGAGGAGGAGGAGGAGGAGGAGGAGGAGGAGGAGGAGAGGAAGGAGGGGAAGGAGGAGGGAAAGGAGGAGGAGGAGGAGGAGGCGCGGAGGCGGAGGAGGAGGAGGAGGCGGCGGAGGCGGAGGAGGAGCGAGGAGGAGGAGAGGAGGAGGAGGAGGAGGAGGAGGAGGAGGAGGCGGGGGAGGAGGAGGAGGGGGAGGGGGAGGGGAAGGGGAGGGGGGGGAGGAGGAGGAGGAGGAGGAGGAGGAGGGGGGGAGGGGGAGGAGGCGGAGGCAGAGACAGAGGCGGAGGCGGAGGCGGAGGGCGGAGGCGGAGGTGGAGGCGGAGTTGGAGGAGGAGGAGGAGGAGGAGGAGGAGGAAGAGGAGGAGGAGGAGGCGGAGGCGGAGGCGGAGGCGGAGGCGGAGGCGGAGGGGAGGCGGGTGCGGGGGCGGGGGCGGGGGTGGAGGCGAAGTTGGAGGACACGGAGGAGGCGGAGGAGGAGGAGGAGGCGGAAGAGGAGGAGGAGGCGGAGGATGAGGTGGAGGAGGAGGAGGGGGAGGGGGAGGAAGGGGAGGAGGGAGGAGGGAGGGAGGAGGGAGGAGGGAGGAGTCTACTTCTAAGTATACCTAAGGCTGGGGTCCTGCTCCAGGCAGGCTGCTCAAACTACAATCAGCCTCGGTCGGGGGACGACGTGCCAGACTTTGGTGGCAGTCCTCTCTGCAGGCCAGCACTTCTCGCCCAGCCTTCGAGGCCTCACCGCAAACTCCTTTCAGAATGCGCTGAGGGGCAGCAGAACAGTGCCCTCCACAGATCGTGCAAAAAAATAGACACCCCGTAGGACCGACAGTCGGTGGGAGGGGTGACAGCGGCCGGCCAAGGGGTGGTCAAGGGCACCCCCACACACAAGTCCGACGGCCCCAGGTCGTCAGGGGCAGGGTCAGGACCATACTCACCCCTCACCTCCCGCGGCCCCAGCAGCTGGACACGCTGCTGGATGATACATCTGGGCCTGCCCGACGTGGGCCAAGAACCAGCGAGCTGACCCTTGAGGCCATAGCTGAGCCCACACCGCCGGCACTTGATGCAGGCCCTCTGCACATCAGGGTCATGCCCTGCATCTCGCAATCGTCAAATTCGCTCGGCCAGGGAGGTGACCACTCCACGAGTTCGCTGCGGCTCGCGGAGGCCACCCGGCTCTCGATCTGAGGAGAACAACACTTCACGCCGAATGGCCAAAATCTTTTTTCAAAACCTGCGCAGCGAGCCCATCGGCCCGCAAAGTTTGGTGCATATGGGCTTCGCTCAACTGGGCCCTCTCAGCGGCCCCGTCGTCGAAAAAACGTCCGACCAAAACATGCTTTCGGCCTGGGCTTGGGTGGGGTGCCCCGTGGTCCAGATCAGTTGGAGTGAACCCCCTCGTTGAGACAGTACACGGTGAAATACTGCCCAGAGGTCCAACATGATGGCCGCTTGGCCCGGAGGCTCTCCCTGACACATTCACGACAAGCAGGCAGTCACAATATACTCGAACGTCGCTGACACTAGCGCGCAAGAGCTCGACGAGTGCAAATAGCTCGGTTCTCGGAGATGATTGACGGGCAGGCGGCAGTGAACCACACCTAGTAGCATCAATCTTGCCATCAGGTCCAAGGTGTGCGAACGACCGGCCACATCTCCTGAGCCTCCAGTCTTTTGAAAACTTGCCTCCTGACCCGTCTATCCCCCGCGCGCTCCCTCGGGATCGGTCCCCCCCCGATGCATCTTCCCCAATCCCGCGCAAGACGCAGGGGAGGGGCGAGGTGGCCCAAGGAGTCGCCCAATGACGGGAGCCCACGGCACCAAAATTTCACCTTTTCATTTTCAGCAATGGCCCCCTGTGGCAAGGGCGTCGGTCATCTCAATAGTGTGTTCAGGGATATCTCTGCAGCGGGGTCTCAGGGGCAACTCCACACCTCCCATCATGCCCTCGGCTAGCAGAGACATAACCAGCGGTGCACAATCGATCCTCAGGCCAAGATCCCGCGATAATAACAATTCGCAGGAGCCCAGCAGACTCGCGCTCGCCGTCACGCGCGAGCTTGGCAAGAAACCCACGCGCAGGAGTAAAATCCACTCCTCTCTCAAGGCCAGCTCCACAAAAATGCTTCGAGGCCTGGCCCCAGGACAAGGAGGAACTGGTTTTCAACAGAGAACCCCAAAGCCGAAATGGGTAATCACCTTCATGCAACCTCAAATCAGAATCCTCGGTACGCCAGTACACTGGTGACAAAGCCTGCCAGCCTAGACCGCGAAGAACAGCAATGGTAGCCGCCATCGGCCCCTTGACAATCTGCCAGCGATCTTAGCACATAACCTGCGGGATTTATGATCAAGATTAGTCCAAGCCATGGCCCATCCATTGAGCTGCTCATAGCGAAGCATAAACTGGGGGTCATCCTTCGCATCCCCCAACAATCCTAGAAGGGTAGTAGTGCACGAGCCAGGAACCCACGACCCAGAGCACGTGGCAGCCTGAGCCCTCATGGACTTGACCTGCCCAGGGAACAGCCTTGAGACCCCGAACCCCCACGACCCCGCGGCCAGAACCCCAGGCTTGTACAACTTACTCGCTCGGCCGACAAGCCGAGCAAGTCATTGCACCTTCTTGCTCTCACGGTAGGCAACAGCTCGCCTCTGGCGGACCTTGCTCACATTGCGACGGACGCCTGCAGAAGACATGGCCCCCAGATCTCGGACCGAAGCTCGCCGTATGATGGGAAGGTTGACCGACGTGAGCCTCTGCGTAACTTCGGCTCCGAGATCCTTGTGGGAGCATGCAAGCGTACTCTTGTCAGCGATGGAAGTGCCAGCGGCCTCCAGCCGGTGGCACAGGTGCACTGCGGCTGGCACGAACGATGCGAGGATCTCCTCGCATGTACCCTGCTGCGTCTGAGTGATATCATCAACTTTGCCCTTGATGCGCACAGGCAAGAATGATGCATGGGCAGCTGGTTTCGGCCCCACCGAGGGGCCCATTCCTCGACACATGGGCGCCTCCCGGCGCCGGGAGGCGCTGGGAAGATCAGCTACGTGAGCTGATTCTCAAACCACCCCTTTGCTATCTCCCCCGTTCGCCCGATAGTAGATGTGGTCGGTGTATCGTGCCGCATCGACGATGCATCGGCGATACGGCTCGATGTGAAGCCCGATCTTCTACACGCCCACGTCGCCGATGCATCACCGACGCCGACGTCGCCGACGCGTCGCCCATGCGGCCTTCGGAGAAGGAGACCTGTGGTCAAGGGTCCTGAGTTGTTTTCAATGTTTTTGCTGCTCCCCTGGCTCCACTTTGGAAGCCGAGCCTTGTGAGATTCATGGCCCGCTTCCCTCGGGACCCTCGATCCTCCATGCAGCTGTTCTTTTTCGAGACCCGCTTCGGGTGGATCATTAGCGGATGCGCCCAGCCCACAGCGATGCTGTTTCTGGTTTTAGATGGTGCGCGCGTGCCTTGCACATCGTACAGGACGTTTCTTCGGACCCATTTGTGCGTGTACTTCATTCCCCCGCGCAGGACTCTGATGGCTTGTCGCGCCGAGTGCCTCGCGCAGCGGCGCTCTCGGGTGCTTCTTCGCCCCTCTGCTCAGCCAGTGCTCCTGGCGTCCCAAGGCTAGGGGCAGCGGTGGGGGGATATGGGTTCAGGGGGGAACGCCGATCGCGGATAAGGGTCCCGATAGTTCGGCAGCAAGTCGTGAGGGCCTCGTGTACCTTCGCAGTTCTGTCTTGAGAATGCGTTCGCGTCGAGCAGCGTCTGGTCATCGATGAGGTAGCGCCGATTTAGCGTCGGCTAGCGTCGATGAGCGTCGAGGTGGCGTCGATGTTCGTCGATTCACAGGAGACCACAGGATGGTGTGTGAGGCTCCCATGAGTTGCCCCCAAACGATCGCCCACCCCGCCCAGGACCGTGCGGCTTCGTTGTCGAGGGCCTACCGCCAGTCTGTCTGGGACGTGTTGCCGACTCCAGGTCGATGTTGTCCTGTCCCCCCCTCCAGCCCGTCCCCCCTGACGCTGCCCCCCCTTGGAGTGGACGACTGGGCGACCGGGGGTCGACGCGCCCTCCCTGAGCCTACCCCTCCCTAGTGCCGCTCTTGATGCAGCACGCCCAAGCACGGACCACTCCCGGCCCCGGAAGGGCTCTCGGTTCTCGGGAGGAGGAGCAGGAGGAGCAGGAGGAGGAGGAGGCGGAGGAGGAGAAGGAGGAGGAGGAGGGGGAGGAGGGGGAGGAGGCGGAGGAGGAGGAGGAGGAGGAGGAGGCGGAGGAGGAGGAGGCGGAGGCGGGGGAGGAGGAGGAGGAGGAGGAGGAGGAGGAGGAAGAGGTCGTGGGAGGAGGAGGAGGAGAAGGAGGAGGAGGTCGTGGATCCCCTGTCCGTGGCCGAGGCCCGCCGTGGCCTGAAGGGAGGCCCAGTCGTCCCTGTGTGCACGGGGCGCTCCACGTGTATCAGCACGGCGGCGGTGCACGAGGCACTCCAGGGGGGGCCTCGTCGTCGGGGATCGAGGGCGTCGGCAGCTCCTCCCCGGCGGAGGGCGGCGGAGGTAGAACGCTCACGCGTCTCCGTGGGCTGCCGCGTCGGTTGCAAATCCGACGGCGCCGCGGTTGCGGCAGTGTGTCAGCTGGCCCTTCGCAAGACCTCCAGAGCCTGACGCAGCAGGGGTGGTGCGAACCACAAGAAGAAGTGAAACGAGGCCGCCTCCGCAGGCGCAAGGCCGGCGGAGGCTGGCGGAAGTGAAAGTCAGCCTCTCAAGAGATGGCAAGATTGTTTCGCCGAGGAGTTCTGCAGCCGCCTGCCAGGGTCCCCGAATGACGATCTTCATCGGGGGCGGCCAAGAGGGGGGGTATGGCTAGGGGGGGTGGATCTCATGGCGGCGGGCATGATGTCTCCCCGCACCTCATGGCGCCTCTTCTTATTTCAATACGTCCCCGGCTTCCTCCTGGGCTGCGCACATGCCGCCGGCCATGATTTGCACACACACACACCCCTCTTTCGGGTATAGCCAGGACCCCAGGTAAGGGGACCTGGTTAGTGGTTGGGGCCCGGGGCCCTTGAACTGGCCAGAATCACGAAACCACAGGTCTGCCGCAGCTGGTGTTTTTCGGGTGACCGCAGTTCCGGTTCGCGGAGCGGGGCGGGGGCGGCCTCCCCGTGTTCACGTCACTAAACCGGGTTCCACGGAACCCAGTTCTGCCAACGCCCGACTCTGGGGCGACCCCTTGCTGGACGCCCCCGACCTCAGGGCGGCGTCGCCAGCGCGCCTGCCGCGGGCAGCCCCGCGCCCCAGGCCGTGCACGCCAGGCCCGAGGCCGGCGGGCAGGGAGCACTGCCGGCCCCTGCCGGGGGCAGCGCGTGCCCCGCCGGCAGGGGCCTGTCGCGGGTCTCCTCGGGCGCCCCCTCAGCGAGGAGAGTAGAGCTCCTCGCCCTCGTATTGAGTCGGGCCTGTCCCTCTACCGCAGGAAAGTTCAAGCATAGTACAACATAGTCAGGGGACGATTGTTTGGCTATTCTTGCCCATGCGTGACCATGTTTGTTCCTATTTTGGAGATTTTCGCCCGAAATCCCCCTGTAGGGGGACACGCCCGACTTACCCTAACCCTAGTAGCACAAGGAAGGCGTAGCGTAAGTTGGGCCCCTGCGTTTGCAGCAGGGATAAATAGTAATTATGGGTTCGTTGCTGCACCCTCAGAAAAGAAGAATAACAAAAACCCATAAACATAAGCTTTTGGAGGTGCGCGCGCATTTCTTGGATCCGCGCCGGGAACCCCCTCCCTGGTGTGTGGAGCGCGCCAGGGGCGGCGCCGGAGGCGCCGCTGGTGGGCCCAGGGCGGATCCAAGAGTCTCGCGCGGAGCGCCAAAAGTTTATGTTTATGTGGTTCTGTCTTCTTCGACAGAAAGCTCCTATCCCTGATAGTTGGGGCCTCCTTAGGTCCCCTCTCAAAGGATCAGGGGTCCGTTCTTTGCGAATCCTCCTGCTCGCGTGTTGGACTTTCACGTTGCTGGTGCTGCAGCCTCGCCCAGTTCGGAGACGAAGCGAGGCGGCATCTCAGTGAACCCTGCCTGATTTTTTGGGCGCCGGGCCCGCGGCGCCCAGGGGCACCAGATCCGCATCCGGCCGGAGCCCCCCGTGAGCCTCGACCTGCGCGTGGCCGTCTCTGGGGGTTGTCGCCGCCGCCGCCGCCACCGCCGTCGCCGTCGTCGTCGCCGTCGTCGTCTCCGTCGTCGTCGTCGTCGTGCTGCGCGCAGCGCGCTGGAGGCGGCCCTCGGGGGCGCCCTCGGGGTCCGCCGCCGCGAGCCCGCGCACGGGGGGTCGGCCAGAACCTCTCCCTCGGGGAGTGTTCTTGGAAGGGTTGAGGAAGTTTTCCCCGTGGAGCCCCCTCAGAGGGGGCGTCGGGGCTCAAGGGACGGGGTTCAACGCAAATGGGGGTCAGGTCACAGCGCCGCATCTTGCAGGATGCTGCAGGCTGCACTGACCCGGGCTTGGGTGCAGGATCCTGCAGGATCTTGCGAGACCCTGCACTAGGGGAACAAAGAATTACACAAACATCATAACTCGGAGGTCCGCGCGGATTCCTCGGATCAGCGCTGGGGCCCCCTGGCGGCGCCTCCGGCGCCGCCGCTGGCGTGCTCCGCGTGCCAGGGAGGGGTCTCCAGCGTGGATCCAAGAAATTCGCGCGGACTTCCGAGTTTTTATGTTCATGTTTTTTGTTCGTTCCCCTTTCTACGTCCACAGTGGGGCTCTCTGGCCTCACCCGCGAAACCGTGCCAGAAACCTCAAGAGGCCCTCTCCCTGGGGCCTTCGGGCCCTCCCATCAGTGCCTACGGTACGTTGTTGCTCACACACACACACAAGTGCGCACTTGTGGACATCTGTCCGTAGACAGACCTGGAGACACAGCCAGGTCTATGCACATAGCCAGGTGTGCGTATACATATATATATATATATAGATGTATATGTTTATATACATATATATATATATATATATTCGGATATGTTTACACTTGTGTGTATATATATCTATATATATATATCCATATACACATTTCTGTTACACACGTGTATGCAGCACGCAGGCGTAAGTTTCGTCATACATATGTCGGTACGCTTATGCACATAAAAGTGTGCGCGTCGTTTCTGACGACCTGTCGGGCTCGTCTTCTCTCCCACCTGGCGCCCCGCCCGTGCGTGGCTTGCATCAGACGAAGCCTTACTCCTTGCCGTGATGCCGTGCACCCGCTACGGGCAGGCGCGTTTTTCTCTCTCGCGCCCCGCCTTCGTTCCCGTGCCCCGCGGCGGGTCGTCCAGCTCGGCTGCCCCTGCTGCCGGCCTCCCCACTTCCGCCCTGAATTCCCTGCAACCGCAGCTGCTGCGGCGTGTCCCCCCCGCCGCCGGCGGCTCCAACGCCGCATGTCGCTTGCTGATCCCGCTCTTCATTTGCTGGGCCCTGCCCGCACTGGGGTTGCTGGACTCACCCATGGGTGTACTGCGACGCCGACCCGCAGCTGCTGCCAGGGGCTGGCCGTCAGCCTGCCCGCGCCCGCGCACCTGCCGCAGCTTCTCTGCGTGAGTGTCCCCGCGCGCCTCGGCTTCTTCTCATCGGCTGCCGCCTTCCCTCCTCGCTTCTTGCATGCGGGCTACTTCGCGCTGCCGTGCCCCGGCTTCGCCCCGAAGCGCGTGGGGATCGCCCTTGCTGCGCTGCGACGTAGAAGAAGTGTGTGCTGTGTGTGTGTGTGTGTGCGCGCGCGCATCGTTTCCTGTAGGCCGCGGCTCACTGCGTGATTTAACCAGGGCGGCTCGCGTCGGGATCCTGGTTTGCGAGGCGGCGGTTTGACTCGCATAGCGGCCGAGGCCGAGCCGTGTGAAGTAGTTTTGCCACGCTCGGGCAATTTTTTGTTATATGTTTGTAATTTGGCGCGCGAGCGAGACTTTGCGATACGGCGCGCGCCTAACGGACAATCCCAATCACCGTTTGGACGTGTATGTTAAAGGGACGTTTGAGTGTACACACCGGATGGCGTATGTAATTCATTTCGCTTGTGCGTTGGCAAGCTACGCGTGATGCGGATATGTGTACGCGTTTGCATGTGCGAATCCTACGGCGAATTACCGCCGACCCCTGTCATTTGGGACGAGCCTATGTGGCCGAACGTCGCGGCCAACGTTCGGGGCCTTTTTGGGGAGTTGTTTTCATGCACGTTTGTTGTCTCCTGGGATCTTCATGGGGGCGTTTGGATTCGCTCGGCTCCTTAAGAATTTCGGGGGCTCCTTCGGGAGATCCTTGGGCGTCCAAGGCCGTCCCTGGCCCGTCCGACGCCCTCGGGAGCCGTCCTGCGGGCCTCTCTGGGCCGAGTTGGGACCGTTTTTGGGGCACTTCAGGCCGTCTTGGAAACCATGTTTGGGCGTCTTGGACGGTTTCGTTGCAGCCTTTGGGCCCTCTTTCGGGCGCTGTTGGGCCGCCGGGCGCCATCTCGGAGGCATCTCGGGCGCTGTTGGGCCCATTCTGGTGGCCTCAGGGGCCTCACCTCTGCAAAAACCAACGCAGGATCGATGGTTTTCGCCTCTGCGGGCCTTCCTGGAAGGCCTCTTTCGACGGCCTCTCTGGCCGTCTTGGAAAGCTGTTGGGGCATCTCGGCCAGTCTCGGAGACATCTTGCGACTTTTTGGTGAATCTATATTGGGCCACTTCGGCTGTTTTGAGGCACAATGGCGGCCATTGTGGCCGCCTTGGGGCGAGTTGTTTTTGGACGAAGAGGTCTCTACGCGTCCTTCCGGGTTGCCGGCGGGTTCCATCAACGACCTAACGGTCGGCACGCCGTGTAAAGGTGGCCCTCCGCCCATCCCGACACCATGCCTTGGTGGTAGGTCAGAAGCCTGTCGAATGCATGTGAGGGTCTCTTGGGAGGCTTCGCGGGAGCTTCTTCGAGTCGGCGTTGGGGTGTCATTGGGGTCTCTCGGGGCCTCTTCGGAGCTTCGTGGGGTTTGATTTGGGCTTCGCGGGGGCCTCCTGAGGCCTCTGGGGGTCTATTTGAGGGCCTGCTGGCGGTCTCGGAGGCCGTCTTGGGGCGGAGGGCTCGACATGTTGGCTCTGGAGCCGTTCTTTGGCCGTCTTGGCGGCCCTGTTGGAAGCCTCTTGAGCCGGCCTGGGGCGATCTTGGGGGCCCTGGGCGGGCCGTCCTGGAGCGGCGAAAGCCCCAAACGGCGAGTACGCTCAAATCCTTCATACAGTTTAGGGGCAGTCAGCGATTTTGGCCACGCAGGGCCTTCTTGGGGAGCCTCTTGTAGCCCTCTTGGAACGCCTTGGGGGCCTCTTGGTGGGCGTTCGGAACGATCTTCGGGCGATCAGTCTTAGTGGCCTCTTGGGGCACTCGTGGGCCGTCTTAGGGCCCTCTTGGTTCTGACACGCGGGAGTGTAGAAACAACGGCGTGTTGTACACAAGAAATTACATGCGGGAAACACCGGATAGTTTCACGAATGTGGTGCCCAGGCATCTGAACGATTCAATCCTCGCGGCTAAGGACGAGCGTTCGAGGGACCTCAGGGCACGATGGCTGATGCTTGTGTGTCAACATGTGTGGTAGCACACATGGTGCAACGTAAGCAATGTTCCGCTATACGTTTGTTAGTACGTATTGTATGGCAAGGTTGTGTATCTGTAGGTATGCATACGTACATGAGCGATGCCTTGCAAAGGGGTTGCATGATACTCACAGGCTCGCAGCGGCAGCCATGTGATCAGACAGACGGGCGGCTTGTGTGCATCACATCACGCTGTCCGAACCGGGAAAGGTGGGAGGGGAGGTCTCTTGTCCGCAGAAGGCCTGCACCCCCTTTGAGTTCAGCCCGCGCTCTGTGTAGCATGAGTGGACGCATCCGAGATTGCCTTCGGGGCTTTTTGATTCGCTCGTTGTTTGTGTCGGCATGCCCATGCTGATCTTGATCGTTGTCCGTCCTGATCCGTCCTGTGTCCCTTTGTACTGCCACGTCTTCCCCATCTAGCCTCCCGTAACTAGTCAGAAGTTGCTTCTCTTTGCTGCCAACAAGTTACGCCATCGGTCGGTTCCTGGAAGTGAAGCGATAGAAATAATGCAGATACAGCCCTCAGACTTTTACCAGCGAGCGCAGCGTTATCCAATGCTCAGTGCAAACACCTTAGATTCTACCAGACATTTTCAAATCTCTCAGAATGTTCAAAACACCGAGACAAGATCATCATAAGTTGTATTCTGGTCTGATCGGCAAACAAACTACACCCTGCCGCCGAATTCCTCTAGCTCTGGTCGAGCCAGAACTCTACGAGGTACCTGGGATCGTTTTTTGGAGACAGTGAGAGATTTGACCATGCATGACTCGCGTTCGCACCCGCCTCCTGCGCAGCAGGGCCCCTGCCTGCAGGCCAGCGCGCCTGGCGCGCGCGTGCCACCCTTCCTGTGCCACCTCGGGGCGATGGCAGACTCGTTCGTCCGCCCGTTTGGCCGTCGTGCTTAGACGGCAATGCCTGACTCTTCGCGTATCTCCACCAGATGAGCGGCAGCGAGGCTCGCCTGCTGTTAGCCTCTTCCCCTGCTTGGTCTTGTCCTCCTCTCGCCCTTCCTCTTCCTCTGCGCTGATTTAGGCCGTTGCTAGGCTGCAGCGCTCTGGACGCCGCCCGACTGTTTTTTCGCTGCGGTCACGATCAATCAAATATCCCCACCAGTCTCACGACTCTTGGACGGCGTCCGGCGTCTCCCAGTGCGCTTGCGATCAAAAAAGTATCCCCGCCAGCACATTCAGATACAATCGGAGGCTTTCTTGAGGCCTCTTGGAGGCGATCGTGAGCCATGTTCGGCTATTGGAGGCCATTCAACAAACCACCTACGCCAATGGGATTGGTGGGACTTCTTGATCCCAATCCCCGCGCTTCATCCCGAACCCGATGTCACAAACGAGTGGCAAGCGGACGTCGCAGAACATCGCCGCCATCGCCCCGGACCCCGTCTTTCGTTGTCCTTGCTCGAGCGGGATCGAGCTGCGACGGCCCCGGGAGGCCCGAGCCACGGCGAAGACTTGTTCGTAATCGGCGAGGCGGCGAACTCCGCTCCAGCGAGAAGCGAGACAGGGGCACGAACCAGCGAATTGGCCGGCGGGCAAAGCGAGGAGGGGGGGGACGGCCGAGGGGAAGAATGGACGTTCAGACGCCGAAGAGTTCGACGACGAGCAGCCCGGGGGGGCAGCAGCAGCTCGGCGCGCGGGGCCGGAGCGCGGTGGGCAGCCGTGGCGGAGCACGGTGGCAACCACGGCGAGCACGCCCGCTGTGGAAAAAGAGCAGCGCCCGGACCGCAGGGCCCCGGCCGCTCCCCCTCTGGCTGCTCCCGCAGGCCCCTCGGGGCCTCTGGGGTTCCGTCGTCGTCGTCGTCGTCGTCGTCGTCGTCGTCGTCGTCGTCGTCTTCGGGGGGAGGGGGGGTTCGAACCCCCACTGATGATTTCCCCTTGGGGGGAGGGGGTCTCCGTTCGGACCCCGGATTAATACTCCATACCAACTCTGGGCCAGCCCGATCCGATTCGATTCTGGTGTTCGTTCGATCCGCCAGGCGTGACCTTCGCACGGCGCTGTTGTGCGCCCTGGCGCGGCCGATGCGGCTCGTTTCCGATTCCGTGCCGCTGTGGCCCAATCCGACGCGCCTTCCGACCCGGGCGTCGTCCCGAGCGACCCGTGGCCCTGGAGGTCCGCGTGGAGGAGCCGTTTTGCATCGAGGTCGAGGCGGCTGCCCGGCTGCCCGCCGCGCCTTTTCGGAGCCACGGGCGTGGCCTTGCGAGGGTCGAGCCTCTGGTCAGCCCGAGATGTTCGCCACTGTTGTTGAACCCGTCGCCAATTCCGAGATTTTCTTGATATAGATCGAGATCTAGAGTTCGCCAGATCGAGATTCGAGATTTTCGCCACGCCCCATCCCGCATCCCCATCGAGACCCTCGCCATCTCACCCCCCAGTTGGGGATGTACCCGTCGAAGCCAGAATCGAAAGGGCACCTGGAGGGGTGGATCGCCCAGCGGGGTCCAGGCCACGCACGCCCACGGGGATAGGGGTCGGCTAAACGATGCGCGTTTTGGTGGCAAGTTTTGGGATATTTCTGTACCCTCGTAGCTTCCGGTTGGCCCGAGAGGGGGTCCAGCTACAGGGGAGTGGTTCAATAGATTTGGTGCACTAGATTTGTGGGTTGCAGTAGATTTGGGCCGTGCAGTACAGCCCGTGGCGGAAATGTAGTGCTGGACATTCGCGTGCAATACATTAGTTACAACACATTCAATACAATATTCTGGTGCTATGCATTTGTAATGCAATTGCCCCAAATCTATTGCACCCCCCCTATCAGCTGGACCCCTTTTTGGGCCACCCAACTAGCTCCGTCATTGGAGTGCACTAGCGTCGACTCGCGTCTGGCAGTCGATGAGACCGCCGATTTAGCGTTGATGGGATTCGAGCAATGTCGATCAGCATCGACTTAGTGTCCATCAGCGTCGATTGGCGTCGACTCGCAAGAGCCAGCAAGATGGTACGGGAAGCTTCCGTGAGTTGCCACCGGAGAAATCTGGCGTAGACCAACCGATCCCAAGCCCCAATTGGTCGTGGGCGAGAAACATAGCCGTATCCGCGGCCTCGCGGGCCGGGCCTTTGGGCCGCGACCCCGCGGATACGGGGTGATTTGTGGCGGATGCCGCGCACGGCACGAATCCGTGCGACCGCGTATCCGCAGGGTTGCGCCCCAGAATCCTGACCCGGAGGGCGCGGACACGGCAACTTGCGCCGCTCGTGAGGTTCAGCCCCGCCAGCCCTCTCCCCCGAGGCCACGAGGGTGGGGCAGGCCATGCAAAGCCTGAAGCGAGACAACCCGGTATCCCAACCCTGGGGGGAAAGGCGGCCACAGAGCCGTGCGCTTGAGGATGGGGGGTCGGTGAAGCGAGGCGCAGACATGGTCGCAGGCCTAGAGATTGACACCAACACCAATTTCGGCGGTATGCCTCCACCGAGGGAAGACGATCCCGATCTCGGTGATGGTGGTAATATTCTGGCTTCCAAGGTGGCCGAACTATTGCCACCAACACCGAAATCTAGGATCATCTTCCCCCGGTGGAGGCAACCACCTGTGTTGGTGCTGGTGCCCATTTCCAGGCCTCCGACAGCAGCCCTTCGTGTGTCCATTATGACTACAGTCGGAGCGCTGACAACAAGAAACCCTTTTCGTTGGGGATGGGGTTCCGTGTTCCTTAGTTATTTCATAGGTGTTCTGTAGGTTTTCCATGGGAAATCGAAGTTCAATGTGTGGAGAAAGGGGGGCATCGTTCCTTATTTAGGGTTCCTTGGGCCAACGCCCCGACTGTAGGGCTCGCTGCTGCTGCCGCCGCAGCGTCGTCCCTCTTGGACGGGCGTCGCCTGCCCGAACGGCGGTCGCCGCTGGAGTTGGACAGCGTCTCCCGTCGGGCACCGTCTCCGTTTTGGTCTGCCCCGACTCCGGGCTTGCCAGATTACCAGCCTGGGACAGACCCCCTGATCCCTATGACTGGCATCACCCGATGCCGATGCCGATCGTAAGTCGGGGTGGACAGACCTCCTACCCTGACACGTCGACTAAGGAATTCTTTACGCTTCGCGTATCCCCACCAGCCCATTTCAAAGTAGCAACTCTTGCGAAGCATGTTGACAGTCGTGTTTTTCAGGCGTGTTTCCGCCTGCCCCCGCATATCTCCCCTGTTCCTCCTTCCTCCCGCCTCCTTGTACATCCTCCTTGTGGTGGGAGCGGGAGAAGGACGAGGCGGAGGAGGAGGGAGAGAAAGCGCTCCTCGTGGTTTGAGTCGTTTGGGGTTTCTTGTCCTGGTGTGAGTCGTTCGGGCCCTTCTTCCTGGTGTGAATCGTTCGGGCTCTTCGTGATGTGAGTCGTTCGGGCTCTTCGTCCTGGTGTGAGTCGTTCGGGCTTCTCGTGGTGTGAGTTGTTCGGGCCCCTCGTCGTCGTGTGAGTCGTTCGGGCCCCTCCTCCTGGTGTGACTCGTTCGGGCTCCTCGTGGTGTGAGTCGTTCGGGGCCCTCGTCGTGGTGTGAGTCGTTTTGGGAGCCTCTTGGAGGCCTTTTGGGGCGTCTTCGGGGCCTCTTGGCGGCCCCAGGGGCTTCTAGGAGCGTCTGGGGTGCCTTGGGGGAGCCTCTTGGGGCCTCTTGGGGGCCTCTTGGAGGCGGTTTGGGGCGTCTTGGGGGCCTCTTGGCGGCTCCAGGGGCTTCCAGGAGCGCCTCTTGGGGCCATCTTGGGGCCTCTTGGTGCCTCCTGGGCGCTTCTTGGGGCCATCTTGGAGGGAATGGATCAAAGAAGAGGGGAGCTTTAATGAGCGCTGCCCCCTCAGAAGGGCAAAATGAGCCCAAAACCTTCGTAAAATCAATGATTTTGCCTTGAAGGAAGAGGGGAGCTTTCATGAGCGCTGCCCCCTCAGAAGGCCAACATGGGGCCAAAACCGTTGTAAAATCAATGATTTTGGCTTCACAGAAGAGGAGAGGGTTTTTTCTCCCTCCCCCCGTCGGGGCCAGAATCCTCGTGAGGGGTGTCGTTTTTTAGCCCTCCCAGGAGTCGAACATGACTCCCCTGACGACCCGCGGAGGGACCTCTCCAGGCCCAGGGGAGGGGGTAGGGGGAAGGATAATCCCCTCCCCGAAGGGGAAGAAGGGGGGTTGAGAACATAGCGGGCTCTCTAAACCACTCACGCCCAAAGGGCTGGTGGGATTGGCCGTGTTTGGTTCGCGAGAGGGCGTCGCGGCCGTCGTTTTTGCGGGTCCAGGTCCGTCGGTTTCGGTCCCAGGCCGTTTTCACCAAGAGGAGGCTTACTAAAGGGAGGTTTGTCCACCGCCGACTCCGGGCTTGCTAGACTACCAGGCTGGGACAGACCCCCTGATCTCTATGACTGGCATCACCCGATCCCGATGCCGATCATAAGGATTCCCTCGGTTTGCGAGGGCGCATCCCTAGATTGTCATCGCTTTGGGGCTGGGCTCGGCCCCAGAGGATTTGCCGCTGAGGCGGTAGCGATAACGACGACGACGGCGTCGTTGACAACGATGACGATCACGATAACGATGACGATGATGACGAAGATGATGATGATGCTGATGATGATGATGGTGATGATGAGGATGTGGATGAAGCTGATGATGATGCTGGTGCTGATGCTAATTTGGATGACGGTGGCGGTGACGGTGACGATGGTAATTGTAATGGCGACGGCGATAATGATGACGATGCTGCTGTTTATGCTGACGGCGACGATGGTACGGGTGATGCTGAGGACGATGGTGATGGTGACGAATATGTTGTTGCTGATTATGAAGATGGCGATGATGCTTATAGTGATGGTGTTGCTGATTATGATGATGCTGACTTGTATGACGACGGTGATGGTGACGATGATGATGCTGATGATGCCGAACGTGACGATGACCACGAGGACGATGATGCTACTGATGATGATGATGTTGATGATGACGATTGTGGTCGTGATGATGATGGTTATGACGATGATGATGATCATAAATGTGTTGACAATGATGATGAAGCTATTGATGCTCGAGATGACCACTCTGCTGATGATCATGATGATGATGTCGATGATGAAGGCGCATATGAAAATGTTTATGAACATGATCATGCTGATTCTGATGATTATGGTGGTGATGATGATCATGATGGTGATATTGGTGATGCTGATGCTGATGATGATGAGGATCGTGAAGTTGATCGTGAAGCTGATCATGCTTATGGTTGTGATGACGATATGCTTGTGACGCCGCTGTCGGTGCTGGTGCTGCTGCTGATGATGACGATGATGATGATGATGCTGATGATGAACATTATGGTGATGGTGATGATGATGATGACGATGCTGATGATGATGATCATTATGATGAATACTATGATGATGATGATGATGATGATGATGATGATGATGTTGCTGATGATGATGATGATTATTATAATGAGTATGATGATGATGATGATGACGATGGTGCTGCTGATGATGATGATGATGATGATGATGATGATGATGATGATGATGAGGATGAGGATGAGGATGAGGATGAGGATGAGGATGAGGATGAGGATGAGGATGAGGATGAGGATGAGGATGAGGATGAAGATGAGGGTGAGGATGAGGATGATGATGATGATGATGGTAACGATGCGGATGCTGATGGTGATGATAATTTTGAAAATGATGCTGGTGTGGTGATGGTCGAGGTGGTGATTCTGATAATCAGGCAGCGCAGGAGGGGAGCGGCTGCGGTGCTCTGTATGCGCTCTTGCAAAAACTCCGCAGAGGTGGGAAACCGGAGCAGAGGAGAGGGGGCGGCAGGGGGTGGCAGCCGCGGCATGCATGCTCGATGCCGCCTCGACCGAGACGGCACCCATCGCGGCGGCGCGCCTTCGGCGCGAAGCCCTCCCTCGCCCCTCCTCGGGTACGGTCACGACCCTGGCTCGTACATCGAGGGGCCCCAAGAGGGGTGGTGACCACACCGTGTGGTGAGTTTGTGGGGCTTGGTTCGTTCGGCGAGGATGTCTCTGGCGGCTGGGGCCTCGGAGGTCACCAACTCATGCGGTGACGGACCGTGCGGTGGGGTCCTTCGGGATTTCAAGATCACCACAAGGTCTGTCACCACATGAGGCGTCCCAGAAAGGGGGCGGGCTGGGCCTGTGAGGCGGCCGGCACACGACAGCCCGACCAGGGCAGGGCAAGGCAGCTCTGCGGGCGTATCCACAGGAGGCAGCACCCATCCGGGGGCCCAACTAGGCTGGCCAGCGGGGGCAGGGTCTTCTCAGTCGGGGCGACGATAGGCGCCGCAGCCAGATCTGGAAACCGTCGGCAGGCAGGCTGCCAGCACGCGCTCCGAAGCCTGCGAGGGGGCCCCGCGGCTCACGCCTGGCCGCCTGGCCGTCGCCGGCGCGTCGAAGCACGGTACGCCGCGGAGCAGCGGCTGAAGTCACCGTGCGCTCGTCTCCGCCGCGCGCAGGGTCCGCAAGCCGCCGGCAGCGAGGTTTCTCGAGAGCCCGCCCCTGCAGCCCTTGGCGCAGCCGGACGCATGCACGACCAGGGTCGGGGCTCGCCACATGTGCCCCAGGCCCAAGGGAGAAGGTGTCCCGAGGGTTTCGTGGGAGGCCCAGATGGCCTCCAGGGCACCCCCCCCGGCGAGGCCAAGAGGCCCAAAGGGGTGCCCCAGAATGGCGCGGCGAGCCAGGCACGCCTCGGGTCGAGGACGCCCTTGCAAAACGACCCCAGACGCGGGCTGACGCCCCTGCGTGGGCCGCTGCCACCCGCTGGCGGCAGCCCATGGCCAGGGCGCGCCACGCCGCGGCGCCGCGCGGGCACACTCCCTGGGCCTCGCCTGCGGCAGGGGTCACGCACGCGTGGGCGACCGTGCTAGCGCGGCCGGGGCCAGAGCACTGGTCGGCCGAGGCGGTGCGGCCGCGCGCAAGGCGCGCGGGGTTTGAGCCGCGCAGCAGCGGTGGCGATGGCTGTGATGTCGGCGGCGAGCGAGGGGGGGCAAGCGAGAAGGAGAAGGTTTTCTCGCTAAGCGCCGGGAGCTCTCACAAGCCCTCGCGCATTCGGAGAGGTGTTCCGTGCCTTCGGGGAAGATTTAGAAAACTTCTCAGAAGGCTGGGGAACTTCCGAGCCTTCTGAGAAGGCCTGCCCCTTCTCACTTCCCCAGGGCGCGCCGCCTATGATGGTATGCTCAGGCGGGGGAGTGCAGCAATCCCCAACCGCCAGATCATTGCCGATGTGGGCTTGACTAGCCCACCCCGCCCATATCTGTCTGCGATGTGTAGCCTATTCTGGCTCGATGCTCATCCCACCCCCCTCGGAGAGTGAGCAGGTGGGCCGAGGGAGGAAACGGGGGAATGGGGGGGGTAGGAAGAGCGGGGGGGAGGAGGGCGAGAGGAGGTGGAGGAGGAGGAGGAGGAGGAGGAGGAGGAGGAGGAGGAGGAGGAGGGGGGAGGGGCGAGAAGGGAGGGAGAGGGAAGGGAGGGAGGAGGACGGATCGAGGGAGGACGAAGGGAGCTGCGACAACGGCGGGAGAAGGAGGAGCAGTGGGAGAGGGGGAGGTGGGGCGAGGGAGGAGGTGCAGACGGGGGTCGTCGGGCCCTCTCGCGGCCCGGCCCGGGAGGTGGCGAACCGGGCCGCGAAGCCGGCTGAGCCGAGCCTGCGGTTCGACCTGCGGCTCATGGCGCGGCCTTGCCGCCTGGGGGAGGGGGGTGATGTCGGCGTGAGGGAACCTTCGGCCGTCGACGTCAGCTCTGTATCCTTTGGCGTGGATCCTCCTCCTCCTCCTCCTCCTCCTCCTCCTCCTCGTCCTCCTCCTCCTCCTCCTCCTCCTCCTCCTCCTCCTCCTCCTCGTCCTCCTCCTGTGCATTCCCCCCCGCAGGACCCTGCTGGCTCGTCGCGCCAAGTGCTTCGCGCAGCGGCGCGCTCGAGTGCAGTGCCCCTCTGCTTAGCCAGTGTTCCTGGCGTCCCAGGACTGTCGGGGGCAACGTTCGGGGGGATAGGCTCAGGGGCGATGCATCGACTCCGACTCGCCCATTCATCGCCGATGCGGGCCCAAGGAGCCATCGGGGCAAGGGCCCGGGACGGAAGCGTGCCCGCGGACTTGGGGGGTGTGCGCAATGAAGCATCAGATCATCAGGAGTGTGGAAAGGGATCCTGTCGAGGCCAGGAGCATGTCCATTATACTTCATAGATTATGCTTGTCCACCACCGAGTGGCAATTGGAGGCCCAATATCAGCGTGTATATGTATGAATACACTTACATCTATATGTCTAAGTATCAGAGTGAGGGGGCTGAACCGAACGGGCATTCACTGTCCCTGGGTGCGTGGCTGAAGTGGAATTCCGCGATGCGGATTCTTGTTGTTGTTGTTGTTGTTGTTGTTGTTGTTGCTGTTGCTGTTGCTGTTGCTGTTGCTGTTGCGGTTGCGGTTGCTGTTGCTGTTGCTGTTGCTGTTGGTTGTTGGTTGTTGGTTGTTGGTTGTTGGTTGTTGGTTGTTTGTTGTTTGTTGTCGTCGTCCCACCCGCGACCCGCCCCGCGACCCACCCGCGACCCACCCCGCGACCCAACCGCGTCCCACCCGCGACCCACCCCGCGACCCACCCCGCGACCCACCCGCGACCCACCCCGTGACCCACCCGCGACTGACTCGCGACCCACCCGCGACCCACCCCGCGACCCACCCCAAGACGCCCCCGGCGACCCACCCGCGTCCCACCGGCGATCCACCCGCGACCCACCCGCGACCCACCCGCGACCCAACCCGCGACCCACCCGCGACCCACCCGCGACCCACCCGCGACCCACCCGCGACCCACCCGCGACCCACCCCGCGACCCACCTAAAATTTTCGGCGCCTGCGGCGGGTTTCTTTTGTTTTCATTCCAGGTGGAGAACCTGCGACCCACCCGCAACCCAAGCCGCGCCCGCGACCCACCCGCGACCCACCGCGACCCACCCGCGACGCACCCGCGACCCACTCCGCGACCCACCCAAAATTTTCGGCGCCTGCGGCGGGCTTCTTTTGCATTCGTTCCAAGTGGAGAACTTTCGACCCACCCGCGACCCAAACCGCGTTCAGTGTACAAATCAACATGTTCGGCGTCTGCGGCGGGCTGTTACGAATTCCTTCCAGGTGTAGGTCGAGAGCCCGCGACCCACCCGCGACCCAAACTACGTTCACTGAACAAGCCCGCGACCCACCCCCCTGGCGCGCGCGCGCGCGCGCTCCGCGGAGGAGGGGAGGAGGAGCAGGGCGAGGAGCAGGAGGAGGAAGACGACGACGACGACGACGACGACGACGACGACGACGACGAGGACAAGGACGAAGAGGAGGCCGACGACGAGGGCGAGGAGGAAAAGGAGGGGGGGACGGAGGGGGACGTCGTCTTAGGTGCTTCGTATGCGGAGGCATCTTTGACTCTCGTGGGCCGTCTTCGAGGCCATTTTGGACCATCTTGGGTGAACTTGGAGGCCATCTTGGGCTATCTTGGCCGTCTTGGAAGCGACGGGGGGAATCACCCGGGCATTTTCGGAACCTCCCGGGCCGCCGGCGGGACGGGCCGAAGCCCCAGGGAGCAAATCGAAAGGGTCTAGCACGCCGGGCACCCCTGTTGCAAGCCAGCGGGGGGGGGCGGATCCTAGTGGCCTTCAGGCCATCCCGCCACCGTGCCTGGGTTGTGGGTCTGAGGCCCCTTGTATATGTGTTGGGGTGTCGTGGGGGGGCCTCTCGGGGGCCTCTTGGAGGCGGTTTGGGCGCCTCTTGGGGGCCTCTTGGGGCCTCGTGGGGTATCTATCTTTTGGGTTTCTTGGGCGCCTCTTCGGTCCTCTTATAGGAGATCGTGGCCTCGGGGGCGCGAACGTGGCGGATCGGATAGTGGCCTCGGGGGCGCGAGTTTGGCGTAATTTACGCGGGATCGTGGCTTCGGGGGCGCGAGCGTGGCGCAATGTATGCGGTATCGTGGCTTCGGGGGCGTGCGCGTGGCGTAATTTACGAGGGATCGTGGCCTCGTGGGCGCGACTGAGAGGTAATTTATGTGGGATCGTGGCCCCAGAGGCGAGAATGTGGAGTAGTTAGCAGGGCATCGTGATTCCGGGAGCGTGAATATAGCATAGTTTTACGAGGGATCGTTGCTTCTGGGACGCGAACGCAATAAAATGTGCGAAGGATCGTGGCCTCGGACGCGCGAATACAGCGTAATTGACGAGGGATCATTGCGCCAGAAGCGCGAATCTCATATTTTTTTACGTGTCCCACGGCCCCCCAGAAATTCAGAACACGCGACTCGGGGACGCTAGCCAGGGTGGTTTCCGGCTACCCCCCCTCGCTCGGACAGTGACCATTTACAGTGAGAAGCAGAAAGCAATGCTGTAGCAGTGGAAGCTGGAGTTGGTGCATGGAGTAGCGAACTCAATCTTCGCAGCCTGATGGCCCCGCAAGGGCGGCTGGCGGAGTATGGAAACATATGACCACCGCGGTGTAACAGACGCGTCACCTGGGCACCCCAAAGGGTACCCGCTGGAGACCGTTCAGTCGCCATTGGGATATGTTTGGTTGGTTGGTTGGTTGATTGGTAGGTTGGTTGGTTGGTCTGGTCGGCTCTGCGCTTCCTGGGTTGTTCGGCTAGTCGGCGCGGGGCCGACTTGCAACGGGGGCTGGTCCCCAGCAGGGCCACGCGGCCCCCGCATCCCATGCGGCTCATGCTGGTGATATGGGCGATGTGAACCGTGCGGCCCTTACGGCTTGCGGAGTTCATCGGGCCCATGTGGAATATTGCGTTTCCGTTCGCTGAACCATTTGCCGTCCGCGCCCAGATATCGCCCGTGTCGCTGCCCACCTTACGCTCTGCAGAAGCCACAGCGACAAGGGCGTCACCAGCACGCGAGCAGCGATTCCTTGTTTTGTGCGGGGATTGTTTCGGTTTCCGGCCAGGCGGCGCCATGCGATGCGTACGCACAAAACGACAGTTTTGTGCAGTGTCCTGGCAATCGTAGGGAAGTCTGGCTGGAATGGTAGCGTGCCGCGCCGGCGGCCCGCGTAAGCCGCCGCGTAGGGTCGTTCTGCCATTTTGCGTAAGTCCCGTTTTCATCTGCTGGCAGCTTGCAAAATGGACAGCCCCAGATCATGCGGTGGCTGCCGGCCAAGTAATGCAGCAGGTTCCCGGGCGCCTGCCCTCCTCTGCCCGTGCTTCCGGGTCGGGCGATGCGCCCCCCAAAAGCAGCATGCCAGAGCGGCCGGAGCCCCGGCGGCCATACCGCGGGGGGCGGGGTCGCCGAGGGCCCTCCTGGCACCCACCCCTCTGAAAGGCGGGACATGGCTTCAGATCGAACGAAGAGCAGGGAAGCCGACGCCAACACCGCCAGGAACCACCCGCGGGAGGAGCCTGGTCTTCGTTTTACGCTCGAGACATATCTTATCCCCAGTTAGTGGGAACTTGTTAGTGATTGGGCCCCGAAGCCCAAAACAGGTTTGCTGTAGTTGGTGTTTTTGGGGTGATGGCAATTCCGGTTCGTGGAATGGGAAAGGGGGGCGTCCCCAGTACAGATCATCAAGCCAGGTCCCGCTAAACCCAGTTCTGCCAACGTCCGAATTGTGGACCTCGTCGCTGCAGGTGGCCCCCTGGTGGTCTTGGTGCCGTTTTTCTCCCCCATCACATGCGCGACGCAAGAAATCATCTGGGTCGTTTGCGCCGACATCGGCGCGTAAGCTGCCCGCGTAAGTTCGCGCGTCAGTGCCGTCGTTTCCAATGTGGAGTGCGGCCCGCGTAAGCAACCGCGTAAGGTTCAGGAGGGGAAAAAGCACGCAGACACAATTAATCCTCGATTCCCCCAAACATATGTGAAAATATGGGAAGTGGGGGGGAAGACGAACACCCAGAATATATGGGAAAATATTTGGAATCGTTTTATTTGTGTGTATTTATTTGCGTGTCTTGGGGCCCCTTCCAAGGTCGTCGTGCCATCTCGCGCACGACCCGTTTTGGATCGTCGCTCAACCGGATTGCGCTGGCACCGGTGTCCTCGTCATCCTGCAGACACTCGGCGGGGGAGACGAGGGAGGGGAAGGGGAAAATAATGAGGCAATGGCGGGCCCTTGTCGTCCTTAGCGTCAGGTTTCCGACTTCATCCCTCCCTCTTTTGATGGGCCTGTTTTCCACCACCACCAAAAGTATGAGGGTGAAGGGGTCCTCCTTTTCCTCCTCCTCTTCCTCCTCCTCCTCCTCCTCGTCCTCCTCCTTCTCCTCCTCCTCCTCCTCCCCCCCGAGCCGCCACCACGGCCCTGGTTCCCCCTGCCCACCAGGCGGCCCTTCCGACCCGCGGCTTAGGCACCATGGGGGCGACCGTGGCCTGGCTGGCGCGCTGACCGCGCGGAGTGCCGCCTCCCCTGGCGGAGCACCGCTGGGAGGCAGGCTTGCACGCTGCCGCCCGCGGGGGCATGAGCCCCGCGCTGCTGCTCACGCTCGGGTCGGCGCAGGCCGCCGCCCATACCGAGACCAACGCCCGATAGTGCATCGTGGGCTGCTGCTGGAACCCGCACAACCTCATCGGCGCCCCCCGCCTGGGCGAGGCCAGCCCCATCTCCCGCTTGGTCGGCGTGGTCGCCCTGCCTGGCGCGGCAGTGAAAGGCTGGCAGAACGAAGCGCGTCACGCGGCCAAAGACGCCCACCACCACGTTATACAATGTGCGGACGAGGCCGCTGCGGAGGGCGCCGTGTGCTGCACCCAACATATCAAGGCGTACGTGAAGGTGCTGACGAGCCACCGCAAACACATGCTGGACGCCCGCCAGGTGTACACGGAGGGCGAGCAGGCCGAATATGGGCAACTGCGGGACATGGCAGTGGCCCCCTGGCTGGCGTGGTCGCTTGCTTGGGCGGGTATCGGCATCACGAACCGCAACCACTGCGCGCGCCCGCCCTTTGCCCAGGAGTGGTGCGCCTTTTTGCTGTGGCCACCGCTGGCGGGTGGCCTTGGGGGTGGGGGGGGTGCGTGACCGTCCCGTGGTGCGCGGAGGTGCTGGGCGAACGGTACGACCTGCTCGCCTACGACTACGCACCCCCCCCCCACCGACGCCTGCGAGGCCCCCCCCCATGCGCAAGCAGGCTCAGGAGGACTCCAAGCGCTCGAAGGCCTGCGGCTGCGCCATCATTGTCTACAAAAGCTGGTTCGGGAAAAACGCCCTGCGGAGGATCATCATCCCGCCAGCGTTGCCGCGCGGGCGAGGTGGCCTGGCCTGCATCTGCTCGGGGCCTTTGATGATCGCGACCATGGTGCTGTACTTCCCCCCCCGCCCGATGGCGGGCTCGGCGGCGGTGCACCGCGACACGTGCATGCAGCTGCTGAAGTGGGCCCAGGCGGAGTAAGTGGCCAGCTCACAGCGTTACACACCGATGATATGCATGGACCTCATGGCGCCGAGGTGGTCGGCCTCAATCGAGCTGTTCAAGATCTCCCTCAGCCCCACGAGGACCAGCATGCCTAGTGACCACTGGACGAAGACGGCTGGCTCGAGCCCGCGCTCTGCCCTTGTGGGGCGAGGGCCAGAGGACGGCGGCCCCCTACGTGCAGGACCAGCTGGGGCACCTGGCCAAGTGCGGCGAGGCCCCTCTGCCCCTCGGCTTCGCGCCCGACAAGGAGAACGGGAAACCAGGGCCTGCTGGACGGTGGTTGCCCCATGCCATGCGCCCTCGGTGGATGGCAGGGATTGGCGCGCGGGCGGGCCAGCCGTTGCTGCGCAGGAGCGACGGCGCGACGAACGCCTTCGCCTACCGCTTGAAGACCGAGCTGGAAGGGGACATTCGCGAGAGGCAGGTGACGGACCCCGAGCCCGAGGCGAGGGGCATCGCCTTCGCCACGCGCGTCACGAGCATCAGACGCGCCGCGCCCACGGCGGCACGGGACGCTGCTGATGAGCGCCTGGCCGTGCGCAGCGGCAGCGAGGGGCCCATGGGCGGCGCGTCGGAGCCTGTGCTTTTCATGCGCAACTACCGCCGCGCCGCCTGGGCGCGGGCTGACTTCGAGCGCTGCCAGCGCAGCAGCGACGCCACCATCATGGTCGGGCGCTTCACGGCCGTGGACGCACGCATGGGCACCTTCGTGAACGACATTGCCAAGGCGCTGCTGATCCCCAACACAGCTTGTACCCCGGCGGCCTGGCCCCCCCTGGCCACTGACCCCTACCTCGACCTGGCTCGGGCGGCGAGAGGCCACGCGCAGAACCAGATGCAGGACGTCGCCCCCGCCCTGAGGTCGAGGCAGCTCGCCCCCCCGACGGCGGAGTCGCTTGTGGCGTCGGCACGCTGGCAACGAGCTGAAGCACATGGGCGCCTGGCCCAACGCTGCCAACAGCAACGCTTCGGCGCTGTATGCCAGGGCCCAGACGATCAACAACGGCTGGATAATGTTGAAGGGCTCTTGGTACCCACGTGCCCCCCGACGCGCGGAGAGGCCCATGGGGCATCCTAGCGCGCGCGCTCATCATCGAGGACCCCAGCCCCGTTGCCACGGGCACGCTGGACGGGGGGACGGGGTTCGCCGACCAGGCCCAGAACCTCCGCTGCCGCGCCGCCAGGCTGAAGGACGTGTCCAGGAAGGCCAAGGACAAGGTCGCCGAGGTGGCCATCTACGTGGGGGCCGACGTGGCCCCACAGGAGCTCTGCCCCTTGGCCCCCCCCGCGATGGCGGTCTTCGCTGCCATGGCGGAGTCGAGGGCCACCCAGGGGGTGGGCAAGATCAACCGCGTTGCCCTGGAAGAACGGACCAATCCAACACAGTGTGTACCCCTGCGGCCGAGGTCAAGGCGCCCCTGGCCAATGACCTCTGCCTCGACCTGGCCCTGGCGGTGGGAGGCTACGCGGAGAACCGAAAGATGCAGGATGCCGTCTCCGCCCCGACGCGCACGATAATCCTAGAGGATCCCATTCCCGTGGTCAAGGGCATGCAGGTCGAGGGGTTGGCGCCCGCCGACCAGGCCCAGCACCCCCGCAGCCGCGCCCCCAGGCTGAAGGAAGAACCCAATAAGGCCAAGGACAAGGCCGCCGTGGTGGCGATCAACAAGGAGGCCGACGATAGCGGTCTCTGCGGCCACGGCGGAGTCGATGGCCGCCCAGGTGGTGGGCAAGATCAACCGAATCGACGTGGAAGAGTGGGCCAACGAGAGGGTGGGCAACACGCCCGTGAAGTTGTGCAGGCCCGAGAATTGCGACAACGATGGCCAGGTCAAGATCGCCCTCTCCGTTGCCTACCAGGAGAGGGAGGAGATCTGCGTGGATTCGTTCAGGTCCTTGGGGGCCCAAGTGACGACGGGCCAAGAGGAGGAGTTGCGCGCTTGGATCGACGCCCCCAAAGCCTAGCTGGCGATGAAAGGGGGCCAGATGAGCAAGAGCGATTCTTTGGGCTGTGAAAGCATGATTCTGACGTGTGGCCTCGCACTGACTGCCGCCTCCCATGCCCTTGCTAGCGAGGCCGTGCAGCCGAGGCACCCGCAACAAATAACAGTAACGTGGCAGACGCCACGGACAGCGGGTGTAGAAGACCTCAGTGGTCTTAGTGTTGTTCCTGCGCCCTGTGGCCCTCGCCCCGCCCGCGTGTCGCCTCCTCCTCCTCCTCCTCCCTCGGCCTCCTCGGTCGCGTCCCTCGGGCCCTTCGGCTCGGTGCGCTCCCCTTTTCGGTCCCGTTCGTTCGGGCCCTCGTGGCTGGTTCGGCCTCGCCCACTGTGTGCGCGACGTGGTGCAGCGATGTAGCGTGCGAGTCGTCTCTGGCACGCGAGTTTCCCAGCGGCATCCCATTCAACGGCTGCCTACTACTCCTCGTCGTCGTCCTCATCCTCCTACTTTCCGTCCTTTTCCTCCTCCTCCTCCACATCCTTAACCCCTACGGTCTATTGTTTTTTGCTGCAGACCTTCCACGCTCTCTGTCTGCTCACGGTTCTGCCTGCTCTGCCGCGGCATTGAGAGCTTGTTTGCCCTCGGGAACTCAGGGACCTGGCAGCCCATCGATACCGGCGGCACAGTTTTCACCACATCTCTCATCAACCGCCAAGAAACCTTCAATGCACGCATTGATAGGGGAAGCGCTGGCAACCTCACGACCACAACCTGGAGCCCAGGCGCCTGTCTGCCCACCGAAACGGGCAGGACGTTTTCGCTTGTTTCCCCAACCACCGCCATCACACCTTCAGTGCAAGGGCATTTCTATATGACAGGTGTAATATGACTCCGCTGCGAGCCCTGCGATCCTTCCCAACAGGGCTTCCAGGGCCTCTAACTGTTTATTTCCAGTCCAGGTGGGACGGAGTCGGCTCCCGAGGGCCGCGAAACTTTGAAATCTTCCAAGGCCGTGACAGGCCCCACCCCAAGACCCAGGATGGCACAGGCAATCCTTCGCACTCACGGGTTGCTGGCGTGGCTGGTGCCATCGTTAGTCTGTGGGGAGCCAGCCTCCTTGTCATGACGTGTTTTGGCATGCGCGGTGCTCATCTGTCGAGTACTGGGGATGATGCAGATTCATACTGCGGCCACGGCGGATGGAGATGCCGCGATAATGCAAGCACAATCGACAACGGGTATGAGGCGAATGTCCGAGTGTCGGTGACGATGATGGTCATGATGATGATGAGGAGGAGATGGAGGAGGAGGATGCGGATGAGGATGAGGATGAGGATGATAATGAGGATACGGAAGAGGATAAGGATGTGGATGAGGATGAGGATGATGACGACGATGTTGCTGCTGATGCTGATGGTGATGCTGATGCTGATGCTGATGCTGATGCTGGTGCTGCTGCAGATGTTGCTGCTGCTGCTGATGAAGACGATGCTGTTTATGCTGATGCTGATGCTGATGCTGATGCTGATGCTGATGCTGATAATGATGACGACGATGATGATGCTGATGCTGATGCTGATGCTGATGCTGATTCTGATGCTGATGCTGATGCTGATGCTGATGCTGATGCTGATGATGATGATGATGATGATGATTATGATGATGATGATGATGATGATGATGATGATGATGATGATGATGAATGCTGTCGAGGGCTTGGCCAGGCTCCCAGGATGTTCCCAAAGGGCCCAGAGAGTACGAACAGAGCCAGCAGAGGGCCTATGAAGGTCCCGAGAGATACTCAAGAGGCCTATCATATTGTGTTTTCAATTGTCCGACTTTTGCGGCCACTCCGCTGTGCACGCGCATCCCTCAGCGTGGGGGCGACGCGCGCGAGTTGGACAAACCGAGCGCGTAAATTAGGACGAGTTGGGCGGGTCGCCTTGAGCTCCCGAAGAGGACTTTTTGAGTGCCCGAGACGCTCCGAGACTGCCCCGATATGGCCTTAGGGGAACCCCAAATGGAGTCACAAGGACCCTGTTGTGGTAGAATCGGGGGCCCCTTTCTCTGTCCTGGCGGGCCCATCGTAGCCTTTCTCTTTCTTTGCGCCCACGGCGCCCTCCCGAGCTCCGATGGCCAAACAGAACCCCTGCCAGAACCGACCAAGGGACCCCCTTGTGACAGGGTCCGTTGGATGTCTTCTGGGACCCTTTCATTATGTCCCCGCGGGCCCCGCTCAGGGCATTCTTGGCCCTCTGGGGGTCGCCTTGAGCTCCCAAGAAAAGCTCCCCAGGTCGGGCGCTGCCAAAAGTGTTCCTGGCCCATGGCACCAGAGTGGTGCGAAAGGCTGGGGCCACCGTGGGCCAGGACCACTTCTGGCAACACCCGCCCCAGAGGCCTCCAATATTTTGCGGCGCGACCGGTGGGAAGTGAGTGGGAACAGGCCTTCTCAGCAGGCGGCGGGGCTTCTCAGAAACCCTCGCGCCTCCTGAGAAGCCGTCCCTGTCTTCGGGGAAGGCCTCGAACACCTCCCAGAGGGCCCGAGGCCTTCCGAGCCTCCTCAGAAGGCACGCCGCCTCCGACCTCCCCCCTGGGCTCGCCGCCAAAGCCCTGCAACGTCCGACCGGGAGGCCTCCCGATGTGTGTGTGTGTGTGTGTGTGTGTGTGTGCTCCCGGGGGCCACAGGGCGCCGGCGGCACGGACGGCGGCGGCGGCGGCGCGGCCGCCCAGGGCGGGATCCGGCTGCACGGTGCGCTGGTGCGCGCGGTCGGGCCGCTGCAGCCCGGCGCCACGGCGCGCGCCACTCCGGGCCGAGCCCCTGGAGGAGGGGGCGTTCGTGAACGGGGCGGTGGCGAAGGGGTCTCTTCAAGCGAGAACGGGGGCATTTGTTTCGCCGTAGTGCGTGATACATGACAGTCGTCATCATCATCATCATCATCATCATCATCATCATCATCATCATCATCATCATCATCATCATCGTCATCGTCATCGTCATCGTCATCGTCATCGTCATGGTCATCATCATCAATAGAACGGGGGGACGAAAACGTCGGATACATAATAGTCATCATCAGCATCATCCTCATCCTCATCCTCATCCTCATCCTCATCATCAGCAGCAGCATCATCATCATCGTCGTCATCATCGTCATCATCATACTCTGGGCGGAGGGTTTTACCTCACACTCGTGCACGGTAGATCAATGTTTTGAAAACACCATTGGAAACGCATCCTCAGCTACCGGCCCGTTTACTAACACCCCGTTTGCAGGGGCTTGGGAGGGGGGCGGGCGGTTCTTGACCTCCCAGAGGGAGTCCGAGCAGATGGGGTCGAAGGATCGCGCCGCATCGGCGATGCATCGGCGATGCATCTGCGATGCATCGCAGATGATGCTCGATGCATCGCAGATGCTGCGTCGCGATCTTTCGGACCCATGTACTCGGACCCCATGTGTGAGGCCTCCAGTGTCGGGGGAGGCCAGGATCTGGACAAGATCGGATCGGGTCATACAGCGAGAATCTCTGAGGTCGTTTTCACTAAACCACGTTTTTACTGGGGGGGTCTGCCCATCCCCGATGGGGGATGACTGGGTGGAGGGTGGACCTCGTGGGCAGGGCGGGCCCGAGAGGGGTCACGGCCCGCGGGGCTGACCGAGGCGGCGCCGGGCCCCCGTCCCGCCGAGGCGCTCGGCAGCAGCTCTCGGGACGATCCGCAGGGGTACGGAAGAACGAAGTCAAGGGAACGACGGAGAAAGAACGGGCTCAGGTCAGAGGAGGAAAAGGAACCCATACCTCTACCCTCCCCTCGTTTTCCCCTTTTTGGGCCCCCCTGGGCCTCCGTCGTCGCCACCGCTGGATTCGCCTCGAAATCCTGGTCAGAACGCACTCCAGGAGAGGTCCGGGGAGTGGCGGTATCGGTATTTTTTGGTGTCCCCAGGCGACGGAGAAAAAAAACGGGTTCGGCTGCGCAGGCATTCGCGCGCGAGCTTCCGCCGAGTAAGGCTGCGCGTGGGCGCCCTCGTTTCCAAGTGTGGCGCGTCGCGCCGGCGGCCCGCGCCAGGTGCTGCGTAGGGTCGTTGTGGCATCTCGGGTCAGACCCGTGATTGATCGCCGCTCGGGTTCAAGCAGTGGCGAAGCGTCTTGGCTTGCCTATGGTCGGGGTCGGCAAAGAGGGGTGTGATGACTAGGGGGGTGGATCTCATGGCGTGGGCCATGATTATTCCTCAGATATCATGGCGCCTCTTCTTCTTATGTCATTACGTCCCCCCCCCCGCGCCGCGCACATGCCGCCTGTCATGATTTGCACCCCCCCTTTCTTGGACGCCCCCCCCCCTCCTTTTGGCCGCCCCCGATATAGGCCCCCCAAAGATTGTTCTAAGAACCCTTTGTTGTCTGCACGGGATGTTTTTAGAACATTTCTGGCCGATATTGTTTTGTTTCAGCCCATCGGTTTATGTTCTAGGATTTTTTCTTCTCAGAACATTTCGGTGATTTTTTCTTCTCAGAACATTTCTGGGTTCTCAGAACATTTCGTGGTAGACCTGTGGGAATGCCGGGACGGTCGGCCCCTGCTCAGCAGGCGCTGAAGCCAGCGAGAAGCGACAACGATGCTATCTATCACGAGCCATCGGAGGCCGGAGCTCCGTGGATCCGTGAGAGGCTCGCGACCACGGGCCACACCGCGCGCTCTGCCCCCGCCTTCTCCCCCCCCCGGATTTCCTCCCACGACGACGACTTGGGCGCCGCGTGATGGGGGGGTCATACATGGGGGGGTGGCGAGGGTGGTCCGAAAAGGTACCTAAACGGTACCTAAACGAGCCCCCTGGGGCTCCGGAGGGGCCCGAAAAGGGGCACGAAAGGGGACCTTTTCTGACCCCCCCATTTGTGACCCCCCCATGAAGCCACGCCCAAACGACGACGATGGGCCTTCGGAGGTCGGAGCTTCGTGGCTGTCCGCCGGGCTCGCGACGAGGGGCCGGGCGCCCGGCTCGGCTCCGCGCCGGCTGCGCGCCCCGACCTTTCGCGCGTCGGCCGCGGCCGGGAGGTCCGAGCGTGCCGGAGCCCCGGGCGCGGACCTCGGCAGCGAGGGCCGGCGCTCGGTTCGGGCCGGGGGAAAGGGGGGGATTGGGAAAGGGGGGGTTGCGAAATCTGCTGCGTGCAGCTGGTTTCGGCCCCACCGAGGGGCCCACTCCTCGATACATGGCCGCCTCCGGCGCCGGGAGGCGCCGGGAAAATCAGCTACGAGAGCTGATTCTCAAACCCCCCCTTTGCTATCCCCCCCTTTCGCCCGACCCGAGAGGGCCGGCGCTCGGTGCCGTCGGAGTGCTTCGGGCGCAACTTTCGGGAGGTCAGGTTCTGTTTTTGCCCCTGTCCGAAATCCGGCTTATAGTCCGACTTACTCCCGCCTGATCCCGCTTATAGTCCCGTTGAATCCCGCTTGATCCGGCTTAATCCGAGGCCCACTCTGGCATCACAGTCCCCCAAGGGGGCGCAATTTTCTTCATGTTTTCCGACGAAAATCTCCATGTAGTTGCCTCCTAAGAGTGGGCACGGAGAGGACGAGCGCAGAGAGCGACAGCACTGCCTTCAAGCGGTGGCGAAGCGTCCCCGCTCGCCTACTACAGGCCCACCCAAGAGTATTCTAAGGAGCCGTTGGTGGTCTGCACGAGGTGCTCTCAGGACGTTTCTGGCTGAGGCCGTCTTGTTTCAACACATATCGGGCTCGTGTTCTAAAGAACCTGGTTTTTGTTCTCAGCACATGTTTTGGTTCTAAGAACATGTCGTGGTAGGCCTATAGAAGTGCTGTGACGGGCCGTCTCTGCATGTTGAGCGGGACTCGCTGTTAGTGTGGCCGCAGACGTGGTCGGGGGAGGCTGTTCTGAGGGGAGGCGGCAGCACCGCTCAACGATGTGCTGTCAACCAAACCTGCAGAGTAGGCCCTTTCCATGTCTCTGTGCACATCAGATTTGGCTTCGGCTTCAGCTGCCGATGTACCGTGAGGCGCATTCGGGCCAGCGCACCAGAGTCGGATTTTCCGCTCGCACGGGTGCTCCCCTCCCCTCCCGCAGACGTGGTCCATTTGAGGCAGAAGGCCGCCTGCCCAACAGCGACGACTTTCGGCGTTGGACAGCATTTGCTGTGGGGCATCGTGCCCGTTGTTCCCCGTACCCGTTTCGGGCGTCCGAACATTCATGGAGCCTTGTGTGTCTTTGAGAATCCGTCTCCAGAGCGCAGTCGCGCGCGTTGGCGTTTGGTAAGCGATGCAAGAGCCTCGATGTAGCGTCGATGTAGCGTCGATTGGCGTCGGCCAGTCTATGCCATCCTCTATTCGCAAGAGCCTGCAAGATGGCATGGGAGGCGCCCGTGAGGTGCCACAGACGAAGTGCCAGCACGGGTGGCCGACCCAGACATCTTCCGATCGGATGTTTCGGCCAACGACCCTAGAAGTCCCGACCCCTTATCCATGGGCGATTTTTCGTCCTGATCCATGTTTGATGGTCCTCGAGGCCAATGGCGGGCCGCGGGGGCCGAACTCCAGGAGACACGCCCGGATTGAACACACCATATCTCGGCCACGCGCAGAGGGGGGTAGGTGGAGGGAGCAAGGCTTCGTAGAAACACCCCTGCTTAGAAGGCGCGGGCCTTATCTAAAGATGCAAGGCTGACGCCTTTAAGAAGCAGCCTCCTTCTAAGAGGCCTCTCCCCCTCCCCCTACCCCCTTGTGCGTGCCGCCAAGAATCGGCTGCGAGCAAAGGGGGGGGACGTGAGAAGGAGAAAGCCTTCTCAGGAGGCCGCGGGGCTTCCGAGAAGCCCTCAGGCCTTTGAGACGTTCCCTGCGGCTCCGGGGAAGGCTCCGACGACCTCTCGGAAGGCCGCGGGACTTCCGAGCCCTCTGAGGAGGCCTTCTCCTTCCAACCTTCCCTTCCCCCCCTCGCTCGCCACCGAATGTTTGCGTTCGCCAGTGGAGGAGGAGGAGAAGGAGGAGGAGGAGGAGGAGGAGAACGAGGAGAAGGAGGAGGAGGAGGAGGAGGAGGAAGAGGAGAGGGAGGAGGAGAGGTGGAGGGGGTGGAGGAGAGTAGGAGGAGAAGGAGGAGGAGGCGGAGGAGGAGGAGGAGGACGAGGAACAGGAGGGCAGAAGAGGAGGAGGAGGACGAGGAGGAGAAGAGAACGATGAGGAGGAGGAGGAGGTGGAGGAGGAGGAAGGAGGAGGACGAGGACGAGGGCAGAAGGAGGAGTAGGCAGAGGTGGGAGAGGAGGAGGAGGAGGAGGAGGAGGAGGAGGAGGAGGAGGGAGGAGGAGGAGGAGGAGGAGGAGGAGGAGGAGGAGGGGTAGGAGGAGGTTGTGGCGATGCTCCGCCCCTTGAGCCCGCCCCCCTGCCCCCTGCCCGCCTCCGACCTCGCCGGGCCGGGCAGGCCCGCGTGCCCCTGGACCTCGTCGTCGCGATACCAGGCGCGTGCGCGCGCGGGAGGGCCCCTCTCGTCTGCGGCGGGTGGGCTGGCCCCCGCGCGCTCTCATCGTCCTCCCTCCCTCCCCGTCCTCCTCGTGCCTCCTGCCTCCTGCATCCCACTTCCCCCTCCCCTCTCTCCTCATCCTCCTTCCCGCCTCCCTCCTCCTCCTTCCTCTTCCTCCTCTTTCCTCCTCCTCCTCCTGCCTCCTTCCTCCTGCCTCCTACATCGCCCTCCTTCCTCCATCCGCCTCTTTGCGCCGAAGAACGGCCAAATTCCCGCCGCGCGATTTTCTCGAGTCCTTCGAAGTCTGGGCCTGCCCAGAAGCCTCCCTAGTTCCTCAAGAGGTCACTCGAGGTCCCCAGAGGCCCCAAGGACGGCCCCGCACGTCCACATTACGCCCAAAGACGTTCACACAGGTCGTGCCTCCTCCACCTCCTCTTCCTCCGAAGGCGGCCTAGGGGCACGAATCATATTGAGAAGTGGGGGAGGCGCGCGCTCAGGTGACGCCTCGATGGTGCTGAAGGTCATCCACTACAACGCCCAGAGCGCTGACCACACTCGGGTGGCGGAGATTAGCATGCAGTGCCAGAGCGTAGACATAGTGGTGGTGACCAGCACGCAGCGGCACACATATGTCGATACTGAGACGCAGCAAGCGGCGTTGCCGCATCACCGAGTCTGACAGTTTGGATAGAAACTGTCAAAGTATGTGAACCAATGTTGTGGAGTAGCAGTTTTGCTGGGCCGGTATGTACCCCGAGTGCAGCAGGCAATGGCCCCACCGAGAGCACAAGGAATTACGGGACGCGTCGCAAAAGTGAAGCTGTCTGTGCACGGGCAGTCTATCTGCCTCTTTCCAGTGTACCTCCCGCCGAATGGCACCAGTCCTATAACACTGGAGGAGGCCTGTACATGCATTTTGCGATGGATAAGCAAGCGGACCGAGAAAGAGGGTCACGGCACGATGCTCATCGGCGCTGGTGATTTGAACTGCGGGTTTGGCATGCGCAGGGACGTCACGGGTGTCGCGTACATGAGAGAGGGTGCTCACACTGGCATCATCGAGGCGACCAACGAGACGATCGTATCGATCCAGGTGCGTACGTTTGCAGAAGAGCAGCACACGAGTGTAGCATCGTCATTCCGGCCCACAGGATCGACGCATGTTCGAAGAGAACCGACGTTTCAGACAGAGCATGCCGTGTGCCCCATGACCGTACTGGGCAGCATACAAAGCTGAACAAGTTTATCAAACTGTGCAGAAAAACTTCAAGTGCAGCAGAGCGCGACGTTGGAGGACCATGCCCCTGTGTACGAGGAGACCACCGCTGCGACTAAGATCTACAGGGTGGTGAATTCATCGCCGCCAGCGAATCGTGACACGCAGATGGGAGCACAAACGACGGGAGTGGTGAGAGGAGAGCTTCGAAGCAGCGAAAACGATGCTCAGAGAAGATGACGAGGCGTACACGACGGAGATGCAGAGCAACAACGTCCAGGCGGATGAAGCGGTAGCAGGATGGGGGGAAACAAAAAAAACAGACGCACAGCTACACAGGATCAAAAATCGCGTTACATGAACACAGAGAGGGGTTGAACGATCTGGCGCGCTACGAACGAACCCAGAAGACGTCCAACGAGAGCAACCAGAAGGTCGACACATTGAAGATACACATCAAGCTGAACCCGATTGTGATCAGCCCTGGACTGCGGCCGACGCTGTTGCAGCGCTACAAAGAGGTGATGGCCGACCACGGCGAGATTGCCAAAGCGACGACGGTGGAGCTGCGGGTGCACAACATCGAAAGTTTGTGGCAACAGGCGGCGTAGTGGATTGAGGGGATGCGGTCCAAAAAGATAATGTCGCGCAATCAGACAAAATATGACAGTGGCAGAGTGGACAAGCGGCCTGCAGATACCAACGCACGATGGAGGGATAGAGGACGTAGTGTTCGTACCGCAAGTGATCGAGCGAGAGCGTGCCATGCAGATAGCTCGAGTGCACTTGGAGGGGCAGGTCCGGCATGCCAAACAAGTGTCAAAGAGGCGGGCAACTCCGCAGTGGAGGGTATATGTGGAGGCTTCATTGCAGAGGTTGTCGCCGCAGCGCCGCGCAAAATAGAACCCGAATGAAGATGAGTGAGATCAAGGCCTTGCGCCACAGGGCGTCTTGCATAGGTGTCAGCAGTTCGTAGTGCTTGAGAGAGACCAACCGAGTGCTGCCGAGCGTTTTCGATCGCAGGTTTTCGCGCGAACAATAGACAGTGGCGAGCCAGGGATCAGGGGGCAACGGGCGTTTCGCTGCGTTGATTCTTGCAGTATGAGTTTGTTTGGACAGTTGGGGCAAATTATCAGGCGACAACCGAAATTCACTGCGTTTGCACGCGGAGGCGCGCCGGCACGACGGCGAGAGGGCGCGTTTTTAGCATGCAGCAGCACAACGTGGATGTGGAGGGATTTGAATCTTAGCCACACGCTGAGCTACTCTGACAATTCCAACGTGTTCGGGGGGCGGAGAGGGAGCCGATTAGAGAGTTGCACAGCAAGCAGCAGTGCGGGAATAATGAAGAGGTGCCATCGCAAGCAATAAATTCTCTCGTCGTGCACGAAGAGAGGATCGACGGCAGCATCGACATGAAGCCAGCGGAGGGCCAGGGGGATGCGGTCTCGAAGGCGGGTGAGTTAGGCGTCGGCTTGTACGTAGACGACATAACGAAAGTGCACGTGCATGCGTATGAACCGTCACCGAAAAATACGGAGCTGCAGCCTAACAAAGCGACAAGTATGCTGAGCGCGTGCATCGGGGAGACGGGGCGCGAACCGAACGACAGCAACACTAACCATAACGCTAACGTCATCGGGGAAGGATCTTTTGCAGGAGTAAAAGCATCGCAGCATCCAAAACACTCGTAGGACGTAGGAGCAACGCGTAGTTCGAAAAGCACGCGCGCTAGGATCGACGAGCTCGTTTGCCGGCAGCTCGAGAGCAAAACTTCGAGCAGCGAAAGCCGGGTGGATGGCCCGGGTCTTCCCCTCATCGCGTACGTGCAGAGGGCGGGCTTGTCAAGTCTCACTGGTTTTGCGCTGCCACGCAGCTTCGCAGACAAGCTCGACGCGGTGTTCATCCGGTTCCTGAGAGTGCTTGGCCACGGCACGTCAGAGGAATTCGACGGCAAAAAGAAGGGAGAGACACGCGTGCAGATGCTTGGCCAGCACAGGGTTTCACATGCCGCGATCGAGTTAAGGAGCCAGAGGATTCAGCGGTATCCGAAAATGGCCAGGGACCCCCAGCGGCAATCCCAGGTTCTGGCAGGGATCTTCGGAAGCACGCCGATGGACCCCGAAGTCGATAGGCCCCGGCTACGGCCAGCTGGAAAACTCAAGGAATGCAGCACTCCATGGGCCCGACAGTTCCAGAACGACTTGGAGATCTTCGCAAAGACCGATCCCGCGTCGCAGTTTGCTCAAGCATGGCATGCAAGAGAAGATGTACCCGATGTTTTCACACATGAGGCATATAGACAGGTGTTCATCATGAAACGGTCCCAGCACGCCAGGATCTTACTCGACAGGCACTACGAGTCGGAGGAGAAGGAGGAGGCCTACGGCGGAAATGCGTATGCCCAGCCTGCGCTTCGTGCGTTGATCAAGCTGATGTCACGGATTTGAAGAGCAGTCGGTATCGCGACGATTGGCACTGACAGATCGCTTGTCACTGGAGTCCGTGGCAGTCAGTTGAAGTGTTAAAAAAAAGCACACTCAAGCTTAGTTTTCCCAGCCTGGCGGCAGCTTAAGTCCGAGTAGAGGATCGTAGGGGGGGGGAGGTGTGGTGTGCGAGGTGGAGTGGGAGCGGCCGGCTACTTAGCACGGAGGCGCCAGCATCGCGAACTTGGACGCGACCCAAAGAGGTTGCTGTACTGCTTTTGTTTGTTTGAGGCCCCGTGCTCCCTGGGGCCTCCCCCCGCACCCGTCAGCCCCGAGGTTGAGGTGATGGGCCCAACTGCTCTTAGCCTCAGCGCCTGAAGAGTTAAACGAGTGTGGTGCGCCTTCGTGTTGAAGTGGGCTTTGAAGGTCTGAGATGCGCTAGAAAGTCCCGCAGGCTTGCCCGAGGAGGGCATCGATCACACCAGCAGCAAATGTCGTGAGCCGGACAGCGGAGGACTACGGCTGCCCAAGTCTTGTTTGCTAGCTCCTCCTCCTCCTCCTCCCCCTCCTCCTCCTCCTCCCCCTCCCCTTTCTCCTCCTCCTCCTCCTCCTCCTCCTCCCCCTCCTCCTCGTCCCCCCCCCCTCCCTCTCCTCCTCCTCCTCCTCCTCCTCCTCCTCGTCCTCGTCCTCCTCCTCCCCCTCCTCCTCCGCCCCCTCGTTAACCTCCTCCTCCTCCTCCTCCTCCCCTCCTCCTCCTCCTCCCCCTCGTCCCCTTCCTCCTCCCACTCCCCCTCCCCCTCCCTCCCCTCCCCCCTCCCCCTCCCCTCCTCCCCCTCCCCCTCCCCCTCCGCCTCCGCCTCCTCCCGCGCCCCCGCTTCCACTCCTGCGGGGTCGTCGGGGTCCTGGGCGCGCCGGGGCCGCACCCACAAAGCAGCCCGCCTGCAGTGGAGCCCCTTCAGCTTCCAGTTGCTGTCACCTCCCCTTTCCATTTCCAGCGGCTCGCCTTACGTCGGGCCGGTCCCCCTACACGAGGGATATTCCAAGATTGTATTGCAACATTAGGGTGGGGAGGATTTGCTGACTCTTTTGTGGCACTTTTAGGGACAATGTGTTGACTGTTGTGTGGTATGTTTGGGCATGTTTGATGTATGTTTTATTTGTCGTTCAAAATCCGCCTGTAGGGAGACATGCCCGATTTAAGGCTCGCCGTGTCCGCCCCATTTTCCCCGTCGCCTCCCTTGACACCTGGCGGCTCAATAGAAAAATCGAGATGGCACCGCCAATTCAACTCGCGAGTGGGCAATCACTGGGACAGCAAGGTGCATTGTCTTCCAAACCGCGTTCCTCAACCTATCG